TTCCCTCTCTATCACCAATCTTCTTGCTGTGCTCATGTTTCGATGCGAGATATATGGCTATCATGAGAACCTTTTCATTCCTCCAGTTCGAGGAAAGTTGGAAAGAAATGCATTGATTATCGTATACCTATTGTACTTACAAACAGGCCATCTCTGCCAGCATTGAGACATTGCCATGATGAGTATCATGGAGACGGTGAAAGTTCACTGTCCATCGGGATTTGTCAAACTGTGACAGAGATCTGCATTTTACGCAGGAGAGTTGTGCATGTATTTCATGGATAAAACACTTCTTGATGCTTCCCTGGAAAATTGAAGCTACAAAGGCTTCACAAATATGTGTTTAGTGTGAGATATGTCTAAATTTTGACGAAGGTTCACCACGGGCTTTCCGACAGAAGATGATGCGCTACTCCTGATCTATTAAGTATCCGCTGGAATTCAAGATTGTTGGATGAGCCAATATTGTGTATTGGGTTGGCTATGAATAGACCGATCAGCAATCCGATCTGAAGAACTGTTCCATTGTTTCAGACCACAAGGCATACCTGAACTCGAACCTTTTGGCTTACTCAGAATGCCCGAGTCATATCCATCCGCGGCTATCTATCCATAATTGGTGGACTTTCAAAAAAGTATGGGCTTGTAAGTGAAGAAGCAAAGAGAAGGGGGCTGAACCCATCCTTACCTTGACTTACGCGCCTCGCCTGCCTCCTTCAGCTGGGGTTGACATTTCATAGTATGACAACTGTCAATATGTACGTATATTTACATACATAATCCAAGTGCAGACAAAAGTTTCAATGAGTATCGATCATGCTGATATGATGGTGCCAGAAGGAGAGTTTGTGAGATGAGGTTGGAGATATATGTGTTGGAGTTTAAAGTATGTTACTCCTCTCCTTGAAGAAAGTCTAACCAGCTTTGCGGATCAATAGTTAGCGACAGATCATCACTGAAGGCGGGGTTAAAACAGGGGACCAGATCCATCTTGAATGTTTGATATACAATACAAAGTCTCGAAATTGGCTGCATAACATGTGAATGATGAGATAAAAGCGATAATGATATGTTGTCCTTTATTCAATTTTGGATTTCTAATGGTCGAAATGATTCAGCCTGATGTTATGTATGGGTTAAATTAGTCTTGGTACATCCTGCCCATAAGGGATATTCGGCATAACATCGCTCTGTGAACCTGTGAACCTGTAATCGTACACAAAAATACTAAAGACACGCTGTTATCTTAATCACTAGCGGGGAGGCTGATAAATTCACAGTAGCCGAATCATCGAATAAAGGGAACACCTCTCCTCTTCTTCCCCGAATCAACACAATCCATTCTTTCTTCCAACAACCACCTTTTTTTTTAAAAGAAGACGTAAGTTTCAAATCCTCTCATAACTTGGGTTTCTAAAAGTTCCATTGGATTCGGATACTCTTCTTTACACCTGTGCTTCTTACTCTTTCATATTGGCATCCCCCTCTAACGCATTGACACTGTAGGCCCGTGAATTGAAATACCTTCAATATGCGTTATCTACAATGTGTTGCATTGGCTTTTGCATCAGCTGCAATTGCTTCGGCGTCTGATGTCGCTTCCCTTACCAAGGAAACATTCCCAGATTTCATCAAGGAGAATGATTTGGCCCTTTTAGAATGTAAGTTTCTCTAATATAATGCATTTGCCTCTCATATGAACCGCCGACTAACACTTTTATTCTCTAGTTTTCGCACCTTGGTGCGGTCACTGCAAAGCATTGGCCCCTGAGTACGAAGAAGCTGCCACAACATTGAAGGAGAAGAAGATTGCCTTGGCCAAGGTTGATTGCACAGAAGAAGCCGACCTCTGCCAAAGCTTCGGTGTTGAGGGTTACCCAACTCTCAAGGTCTTCCGTGGCCCAGAAAATGTTTCCCCATATTCTGGTGCAAGAAAAGCCCCAGCGTGAGTAGAAACATTCCATTGCCAGCAATATTAGTAAACTAACAAACACATCTAGGATTGTCTCATACATGACCAAGCAATCCCTCCCCGCCGTCTCAGTCTTAACCAAGGATACATTGGAGGATTTCAAGACTGCCGATAAGGTAGTTTTGGTTGCATACTTCGATGCTGAGGACAAGACCTCGAACACCACCTTCAACACAGTCGCAGAGAAACTCCGTGACGATTACCTCTTCGGTGCCAGCAATGATGCAGCTTTGGCAAAAGCCGAGGGTGTTAGCTTCCCATCCATTGTTCTTTACAAGTCATTCGATGAGGGCAAAGCTATCTTCCCAGATGCTTTCGACGCTGAGGTTATTGAGAAGTTCGCAAAGACTGCGTCTATCCCATTGATCGGCGAAGTTGGCCCAGAAACATACGCCGGATACATGGCCACTGGAATTCCATTGGCATACATTTTCGCCGAAACCCCAGAGGAGAGAACCACTCTCGCTGAGGCTCTTAAGCCAGTCGCAGAGAAGTACCGCGGTGCCATCAGCTTCGCAACCATTGACGCAAAGGCTTTCGGAGCTCATGCTGGTAACTTGAATCTCGACGCTGACAAATTCCCTGCTTTCGCTATCCAAAACACTGTTGACAACAAGAAATATCCTTTCGACCAAAGTGTTGAGATCACCGAAGCCTCCATTAGCAAGTTCGTTCAACAATACGTTGACGGAAAGGTCGAGCCAAGCATCAAATCTGAGCCAATCCCAGAGAAGCAAGAAGGTCCAGTTCAAATCGTCGTCGCTCACAACTACGATGACATTGTTTTAGATGACAAGAAGGATGTTTTGATTGAGTTTTACGCTCCATGGTGTGGACACTGCAAGGCTCTTGCACCAAAATACGATATTCTCGCTGGCCTTTACGCTGATGCCGGTCACAATGACAAGGTTACCATCGCCAAGGTCGATGCTACTCTTAACGATGTTCCAGATGAGATTCAAGGTTTCCCAACCATCAAGTTGTACAAGGCTGGTGATAAGAAGAACCCAGTTACCTACAGCGGTAGCCGTAGCATCGAAGACTTGATCAAGTTTGTTAAGGAGAATGGCCAACACGAGATTGAAGTTACCTATGATGAGAACGCCGCTGCTTCCCCAGAGGCAGAGAAGCCAATCGCTGAGTCCTTGGCCAAGCAAGCAGAGGCCGCTACTGAGTCTGTCAAGAGCGCAGCCGAGGAGGTTAGTGAGACCGTTTCTAGCAAGGTTGCTGAGGCCACTGAGACCGCAGCTGCTGTTGAGGATCATGACGAGTTGTGATTTAATTTCGAAAAGAAATTTTGGGTTTCTTGTGTTTCATGTATCTGTAGCTTAATCGCAACAGAATTGGGGTTGGGGTTCTTTAAATTGTTAAGGCAATAACATTGGAGCAATACTGGAGCAAAATGAGAATTGTTTATTTGATTATCTGATTTCTACTCGTGATAAAATTATCGTTTGAATTATGTAGATCTTTTTATCTCAAAGCCTACGTCGTACCTTGTAGATAGACACCTAGGTACTTACTTATTAAGGTTCTACTAAAATGTACACCAGAAGTGATTGATTGGTGCTGTAAATCGTTAAATCGTTAAATCGTGAAATCACCCCGCATCATTTTAGCCAAAAAAATATTCGCGCCTGAGGAAGTTAGTTGGTCGGCCGGGGAAAGCTCCAAACAAAAGCTTGATCTTCAACAAAACATACGAAAGAGGCCGCTTAAAGAACTCCGCACCACGACGTAACAAAGCAATTGACGGCATATTCGATCGACATTCTATTTTCATACTATCAACCACGATACTACGAATCCGAGAAATAACATTACAAATACAATGGCATCGCGCATCTTATCACCAGCAAGCAGAATGCTTCGCGCACCCGTAATGGGAGCTACCAGAGGTTTCTCAATCAGTGCGAGGAGAGCGGCTCAGATTGTGGAAACTCCTTTGCCAGTTAGGAAGCCAGTTGGGGCCTTTAGAGGAGGGTGAGTTAGGAATTTTCTTGTTTGGGAGGTCGGTTTTGGTGTGGAGGGGAAACATGGGACGGGAGGGGTCTAAAGTTCGACGGGTTCGACGGTTTCGATGGGCTCAGCGGGTTTCAGGGAAAGAGGGGAAAGGATACAGAAAACGATACAGTTGGATGAGGATGAAAGCTAATTTTTATGGGGATCTCTAGATTGACTGGCTTCTTACTCGGATCAACATTAGCCGGTGCGGGAGTTTACTATTACATTCTCGAGGAGTATAAGGTTAGCAATGAGTTGTTGACAGAGGATATTTATGTGAGTTTTATCTCTCTTGGATCTTTGCTATTTGGTTTGGAGGGAGTGATGTTGCGGGCTGGGAGGGAGGAGGGAGGAGGGAGGATCTAATGATAAGAAGTGGATTGGATAAAAACAAGGCTAACTAAGGCACAATACAGAGTCTGCAAAACTCAGTACAGAGGGTTCACACATATGTTCAATCGCTAGAGGAAAAGCTTGCAGATTTGGAGAAGAAGAAGAAATAAGTCAAGAGAGAATTCCAGTGGACGAGAAGGGATTGAAAAGGCGATTCCGAGGAAAAGGCACAGTGCGGGAAGTTAGAACGAGAATGCAAGCGGAAGGAGATCGTGTATAATATCCGAAATGCGATGCGATGAGTTGATTTGATGAATATCTTTGCGAGCTGCGAGCATAATGCTAGGTTTATAGGAAATAAGAAAGATCTCCAAGTACTACCTCATGTTGATTTTATATGGTGGGGTGTGTGCGAACTTGAAGAAGCTTCTTTGGAGTAGCGTAAAGCTTTGAATTGTAATGCTGAGATATGATTTTGACTGGATCGCATAAATACAGCTTCAATAAATGTGTTCGCTGATTTTTTAATAAAAATAGAAAATTCGTCCTGAGATTCCATGACTTCCATAACTTGCAAAACCTTACCATTCACAATATTCAGCCTCGCCTCGTCTTCTAGAAACAAAACCTCACAGACTTTTCCTCTCATTCCTTCACGTTTTTTCACATGCTCTAAAAATCACACACAAATATGAACTTCGGCGTCCTTGAAATCGCGCCCTCAAAATACGTTCCAGCTCCAGGCTACGCATATGTACCCGATGTATCCAATACGCCGCAAGTAGGATTACAGCCTTCAGCGCGACGCGCGCGCGGCCCAGCTGGTGCGGGACTGGGCGCGGAAACGACGAAGAAACAGGATGCGAAGATTCTGAGAGAGTTGGCGCAGCTGGATAGGGAGAATCATAGGGATGTTAATATACCGGTTACGGGAGGCGGGAGGGGAAAGGAAGGGGGGAGAGGTATGTGATTTTCTTGGGGGCTTGGGGGAGAGGAAGAGAAGAGAGGAGAGAAATGAAGCTGGAGAGATATATATGCATGCGCAAATACTAATGTAAAGCACAAATAGGAAACCAATCCAAACTCACCCCCTCCGTCCGCAAAATCCTCGCCTCTCAAAAAACATTCGCAAACCATCTCTCCGATTTCGAAGCCCTCTCTTCTCTTCCCACTTCCACTTCCACTGCCACTGTCCAACCCGCCACTCCTACAATCTCCACCCCCAAAGTCCCTCCCGCCCCCGGCTTCACCAGCACCGGAAAGCGCAGCCATAAAAGAAAAGAACCGCTCCCCCCCGGTATCGAACTCCCCAAACGCAGCCACAAGAAAAAAGATCCCAATGCGCCTGCGATTTCGACACCCTTACGAACCATCAGTACGCCGATTGTCAAATCCGAGCCTGCAGCTATGATCTCCACGCCCGCGATATCTACCCCGGCAGAATCCACATTTGCGCCGTTTTTGTGCTCGCTGCCGCCCCCGAAACCGCATCCGAGAGATAATGATCCGTTGCTTGTTTCGCGCGTGCCGAATTTGCCGAGTGTGGAGGAGATGCAGAGATTGTTGGAGATGCCGCCGTTGAGTTATATTGAGGCGAGAGGAGGATGGACGGATGAGGATAGGAGGAAACCCGGGAGAGTGTTCTGTGAGGTGTGTGGGTATTGGGGGAGAGTGAAGTGTATGAGGTGTGGAGGGAGGGTGTGTGCGTTGGAATGTTTGGGGACGCATAAGGAAGAGTGTTTTAATAGGTATGGTGCTTAGGGGAGGGAAAGATGAGATGAAAGAGTGTGGGAGGGGGCCAGAGGTGAGAAGTTTTGGATTGCTTGGGTTTGGGACCTTGGGATCAATTAAGCAGGCAAGTTAATGGGAAGAATGATCACCTTGATGAATGTCTTCAAGATTGTACGCATGTATTTTTAGTTTCTATATTGGGATACCCAGGGAAAAGGGAAAAGAGAGAATGTCAGGAGTTCAAGTGTTGAGTGTCGAGCATCTTTAAGTACAAAGATTCAGACATTCTAATCGGTATTGGAAATCATGTGGAGGATCATGGTAGAATATGTATAATCTTGCTAGCTCATAGTCCTCCTATCCGCATCTTCGCCTATCCATCTATCCATCCACCCTACCAATCCAAACCTACCGTCTCCTTCCCACACCCCCTCCTCCTCCCTCCGCCCTCTCCGCCAACGCCACAACCTCCCCAATCCCACTCGCCTCCTGCTCATCTTCCAACGCCATAATCTCCTCTCTACAATCCCACCACTTCTCTTCACTCATCTCAAACGCCTTCGTCTTAATCTCCTTCACACTGAGTGTTTCAGGCTGGATTCCCTTCCAGCGAAGTCCAGTCATCAACGCCTCTTGCCATTCATTACCCGTGCGCTGGAAGAAATCGCGACGGCTTTCAAACGGACGAGGATGCGGGAGATTATCGTCCGGACTGGTCGTAGAGGTATCGGGTGTATCGTCGAAGGATTCGGGCGCAGAAGTAGCAGGGGATGAATCGGGGAGCTCGGAGGAAAGAGAGTCCTTCTCTTTGCGCTTGGATTTGCGTGTGCTTTCGGTGTGCAGATGTTTTTTGTCGTCCATTTTTACATCGCCATCTTCGTCAGCATCTTCGTCGTCATCATCTTCGTCGTCTTCGTCATCATCATCATCTTCGTCGTCTTCGCTGTCTTCCTCGCTGCCAAGCCAGTTCTCGGGCTCTCGTCTAAATATCTCTTTCACACCATCCATTTTGCCTAGATCAACCGCGTACATTTCATCAAATGTAAATTCGCGATCGCCTTTCTCATATGTACCTCCATAGATATAGAGAACATCATCCTGAACAGCCAATTGTGCATTGAATCTCACGTGGGGAAATTCCATGAGAATCTGTTTAGCGGGCAAGGCATCTGCATCTTCATCTTCAGGCTTGCTTGTGTCAATCTCCATATCGTCTGCATCGGCCAGCGACTTTCCCGTCTCGAGCGCGGCGAGATTGCGTAGGAGTTCTTCTTCGTTCGCTTGGCCTCTTCCTCTTCTTCCTCCTCCGCGCTCGTTTCCTCCATTATTTTTCTTTTGAGCTCGTGGCTTACGTAGGGCAAGGGGAAAATAACGATTGCGTTCAATGTTCCATGCGAATAGTGTATTGAAAAACTCGCTATCGATTCCCTCCTCGGATTCCTCAACATCGTGTACACCGCCAAATTGAATACCGCGCCCTTTGTGGTAAGCCATTGTGGCGCCTGCACGTGGAGGATTCGGGGTGTTGGCTGGTTTTTTCCTGCGTTCCCAACGCACGGTGGGAGGAGCAGCGGTCGATGTATCAGCGGGCTGGGTAATGCGGAGATAGAAACAGTCTTGATGGACCATGGGTTTGAGCACGTTGCGCATGGCCATTCCACCGCCTTTCATCTGTTTTCCTGAGACGTTTGTTTTGACACGGGAATAGCCTCCGTACAACACGGCGCCGTTCTCATGCGGGAGAAAGGTGAAGGAGGATCGAGCATCGGGTTTCTGGGTCACGGGAGGAAGAACGGGATTGTGCCAGATGAAGTTGGAAGTATCGTAGATCCAGAGGTCGGAGAGATATTTGGTCGCTTGCGATGTGTCTTGGAAACCGCCAAATAGGATAATGTAGTTTTTGTAGTAGGTCATGCGGTGACCGCTACGAGCGGGAGGAGATTTGCCTTTAGTTTCTAGACGTGTCCATTCACGTTCAGAGGGATTGAGGTGCCAGAAATCCTGTGTGTTGTTAGTATATATTCATATATCCATCTTTTGTATCCCAGTTCTCAAGTCTGGGAGTATGATGCTTAATGATATGGCGTGAAAGAACTCACATTGTAATGATAAAAAGTTCCCTGTTTCGGACTGGAAAATTCCCCTCCAAACATGTATATGCCCCCTGCATTTCCACCTCTACACCACGCATGTCCAGATCTCGGCAGTGGAGCATTCGGACTAGTTACTACATGCCACTCATCCTTGTTGACCGCATACACATACAAATCATTGAAGAAAGTCGCCAAAGCGCCGTTGAAATACTCTCCCCCGAATAAAAATAGTTCATTCGCATTACTGGGACTAGCGATGAGAGTCGAAGAAGCTCTTGGTTTCGGAGGCTCGCAAACCACTTCTGTGATCTTCAAAAAAGATTCTTGAGCTTTAGCATACTCGGCAAGAACGGAATCGAGATCGATGGATTCATTGTCGCTGTCGTCGGCGGATTTCGATTTTTGAGCTTTCGACTTTTCTTTCTTATCGGCCTTTTTCTCTTGCTTTTGTTTCTTTTCCGCGAGCTTCTTCTTTTTGTCTTCGGACTTGGATTTCTTGTCTTTAGCCATCTTGAAAAGTGGACAAGAAAGTCAAAAGGGAGGGGCACAAATATCACGTGACTGGAAAGAAGAGAGTCAGCGATTCTGTAGAGGTTGTGCGTATATAGGTAGCTAAGATGGCTTGGATGCTATCGATCCTCCAATGGCTTTATATGTAAGTTCTGAGGAGCTTTGAAACCGTATGACTGATGCTGTATGTATGTTGTATCATGTAACCACTGGGCAGTGAATGGAAGATTTTGCAAGCACGGGACCCATAAAAATGAACTTTCATTTTCTCAATCAATTGAATGATATTGAGCAACCAAAACCATGATACTACAAACTGCACTCTTTCCTTCATCTCAAATGCGTCTGTAATTACTATGTAGGTAAACAGAGGTATTGAACATCACATACCTTTAAGCTTTTCCCTACTCTTCCACGGTTATTCCAATCAACTCTTTCTTCTTTGTCAATAAAGATGTTTGTTTATTTCTTGGTGGGGTGGATTGTGAGATAGCGCGGGCGTGTTAATGTGCAGAAGGCAAGCAATCTCGCAATCCAGCAATCCAGCAATCCACCCTTGAAGCTGACTTGGCCCCACGTTTGCACAGCTTCCCCTCTTGAAGCTCGAGTATATATAGAGATTATATCTTCATATCAGACACATGTGAAAATCTGAACTCGATTACATTGGCCACATATAAAAGCGGTAATCCTTCTTTACATCCTTCAAGTATCACCATATCATATGCATGGATCGGTGTACAATCTCACTCTTTTGCACTATCCATTACTCATCTCTCTTTGAGCTTGAGATATCATATTAAGCAAAGCACACTTCAGTCAGCGGTGTGCTCATCCAACGATTTGTATATCTATTCATATTGTTGCTTGCCCTCAATTTATAGAATTGTCTTTTCGTGAGATACTTATGCTCAACCTCAACAAACAACTCTTCAAATTGTTAAGGACAACACCAGCCTCAAAACTACCCAGCAAAATGTCCTTATCTCAGCTTGTGGATTCCAAAACACATTTGATACCAGGTAAGACATTGTCTACGTTTTGATTTCTCTAGGTTTTGAAAACACTTGTATATTCATGTTTTGTAGCTGCCATGACCAATTTGTACTCATCTGCTCAATTTGAGCTCAATTAACAATTAATCTATGACTTGTTATATTCCTTATCCGAGTCTATAATTGCTTTCCACTCAATAATATTAAGCAAGAAATAAAACTAATATATCCCTAGGAAAACTGAAAGTTTCGGAACTATTTTTCGAGGTTCCTTTGGAGTGAGTAATGTCCCCAGAGAATGTCTCATATCCAAGCAAACAGCAACGAGTATCTGCGTTGAAAATAAGACTCTAACTCCAGCCCGCCTATCTAGCTACTCTAATGAATCAAAAGGCTCCATTCGAATATTCGCACGCAGTGTAATCAAATATGAGAATCCAGCTACAAAACCCACGGAAGAAGAAATCCGCAAGTCTTCCCAAAAGCCCTGGTTTGTTTACCTCCAAGGCGGACCAGGTTTTGGATGCAGACCACCTCAAGATTCTCCAATTACCAATGTAGTTCTCGATAAAGGCTATCAAATGTTATATATTGATCAGCGTGGAACTGGATTGAGTAATCCTATTTCAGCTGGTACTTTGGCTTTGCAGGGAGATGCTCAACGTCAAGCCGATTATCTCAAGCATTTCAGAGCTGATAATATTGTGAAGGATTGTGAGGCTATAAGAAAGATTCTCACTGCTGATTATCCTGAAGAACTTAAGAAGTATGTAGTTGTCTTCATTCTCTTCCGAGTTCTCATTTTCAATTGTTCTTTCATCCCAAAAATATTTCCCTCTTCCTGTCCCTTCTCAGAACTTTGTCTCTCGACATAGACGAAGTTCATTTTTCATACCATTGATTCCACGTCATTGAAATCCAGAGTGAACACCCGCTAATATCATACAGATGGTCCGTGTTTGGCCAATCATTTGGCGGTTTCTGCATCCTCACATATCTCTCTTTTCACCACCAAGGTCTACGTGAAGTTTTCACCAGCGGCGGTCTTGCCCCAGTTGGTCACTCAGCCGATCGAGTCTATCGCGCTACCTTCCAAAAAGTAATTGAGAGGAACCGAGCCTACTATCAAAAGTTTCCCGAAGATGTTGCTGTTGTTCAAGGTCTGGCAATTCACATCAGCGCTAAGAATGGACTACAAATGCCATCTGGTGGTACATTAACTGTGAGAATGTTCTTAACTATGGGCATTCAGTTTGGGTTCCATGGAGGTTTGGATATGGTTCATGATATTGTGTTGAGGATGAGTTCGGATTTGGATCAGTATTCGTTCATTACTAAACCTACTCTTAAGGCTATTGAGGATGTAGTCAGGTGAGCATTTTTCTGTTTCACCTTTCAAACTTCCAACATTCACCAAATTCCTTGGTATTCCCAAATTTTCCCTTGATAAATGATCACTAACATTCCCATAGTATGGATAACAACGTGATATACGCTATCTTGCACGAATCCATCTATTGCCAAGGCAAAGCCACAGACTGGGCCGCGGACCGAGTAAGTTCTCTTCCATCACCTCTATCACCATTCATCTAATCCCTAACTCCTTTGCCACAGGTGGGAAAATCGCTTTCCGAATTCAAATGGCTCACCGGGCGTCCCCGTTCCCCCTCCTCCCTAATCAGCGAGCCGCTCTTCTTCTCCGGTGAAATGATTTATCCCTTCATGTTCGAAACTTCCCCCGAACTATCCGCCATCTACCCAGCCGCCAAGATTCTAGCCGAGTACGCAGAATGGCCCCCTCTATATGATGAATGGCAATTGGCACGAAATGAAGTTCCTATGTATTCAGCTACGTATGTCGATGACATGTATGTGGATTTTGGGCTAGCGCAGGAAACAGTTAGATTGGTGAGGGGATGCAAACAGTGGGTTACTAATGGAATGTATCATGATGCTGTGAGAAGTAGGACAGGAGAAATGATGGGAGAACTCTTTGCGCTGAGGGATGATGTTATCGATTAGTGGAGGGAGAGAAGGAGAGCTTTCTTAGGGAAGGACAAAAAGGAAAGAATGAGAAAATATAGAGCGAGTTCATAAAATCCAACGAGTTACGATAGTGCGAAGATACCGCATGCATAACGCGCATTTGAATCCCATTCATCAACGTTGAACTTTCAGCTTCGACAGACACCACCATTAAATCACCCAATCGATAAACTTTACACAAATCTTCTCTCACTTCATCCAAACCATCCAAAGAATCACATGTACCTCAAAACTTCAAATTAAAACCCAGTGACCATAACTAATCGTACCATCTCTATGAAATCACTAGGTATCTGGAAAACATCTCGTCTCTTCTCTTCTTTTGTCATGTAAATAAAATATAAAATCATACACATACACATTTACATTTACATTTATATGTAATATAGTATCTATCGAGGGAGACAAGTTCAACTCGTTACCCAACAAAACAATAAACAACCACAACTCCAACGTGAACTCAGCTTCAAGCCCATCTCATCCCGTCACATCATACTTGATACCCCTCTAAACTCACAGCGCACAGCGCACAGCACATTAGTAATGCGTGATGTGAGAAATGAAACCACTAAGATATAGGTAACCTCACCGGGACTTCGTGAGTTATAGAGAATAGGCCCTTATAGACCCTTCTTAATTTTCCTTACTCCCGGTGACTTGATTTCTAACTCTTTAAACTTTAAACTTTGAAGTCTCGAAAGAGTGACTCTAGACGGATATGGTACCGGTGAGCCCTCTCAATTATGTCAACATCTATCTAGGTATCTAGGCGGTATCTAACATTTCGGATCTCAATTGTTACTACTACCTACTACGTAAACAATATGTATTTATAATACACCTGACATCTCCCGATATCCTATTCTCATTAACCCCATTTCCCAAAATAATAAATTTACATCTCTTCTGTACAATTACCACGCCCGTTATTGGCTAATTCTCCAACTCCCCACCCACCCTCTCCTCTCCTCCCCACACCCCGGACCTCCATCATAAAATCATCGTTAACTCCCCGCTCTCAAGAACGCGTTCTAAAATTACAACTCCAAACTCCAATCAAGCGCTCTCATATCCCTTTCCCTTTTCTTTCTCCACAAGCACCACAAAAAGCGACATCCCCGGCATTGATGTACGGTCCGTTTCTGCAAACTGCACTCGTGCATTTCCACGAGTCGTGTACGTCTTTAGGACGGAGGACGTTGGCGCAGATGGTGCAGGTGAGGGAATGGGGTGGGTTTTCTAGAGAGCAGATGGGACAGGTTGATGGAGATGGTGGTGGAGATTTGGCTCTTGGCGGCGCCGAATTGAGAGGAGGTGTGTGTGATTTGGTTTCGGAGGCTATAGCAATGGGCGATCTTGTTTTGATCGAAGGAGTTTTTGCGGTGGCGGTATTCGTCTCGATATTTTTGCTTCTAGTCGGCTTCTTTGTGCTTGACGACCCAGGCCCGTTTGATGTAGCTTCTTCTTGCGATTCCCGTTTAACCTTTGATGAGCTATCCGGTTTGAAGTATCTTTCAATACTCTCCATCCCCCTCAATTCCTCGAATTCTCTCTTCGCATCCTCATTATCTCTGTCCTCATCTTCACAAACTTTGACCATTCCCCTCCCCTTTCGATCCACAAGTCTACTTCCATCAAGATCAAGTGCATCATCTGGCTCAGGCTTAATGCACATTTCGTCTTCCACATCACTTTCTGCTTCGCTGTCGGTGACTAGGTCTTCGTCTTTACCGTCTGGCTCTTCTTTTTTCACTTCGAAACGAGCCAATGCAGCAGCAGCGCGAAGTTCTCGGCCTCGTTTACTACCGGCTACTTTAGGTTTGGAAAGATTCGTTTTACCTTTCTCAAGAGCGACTTTTGTAGCAACGTCTTCTCCTACTGTGGTTGTTTGAATTAGTACTGTGCCTCGAGATTGAAGAGGAGGTTTAGCACTGGTAGGAAATAGATGCCAGACTCACAAGCAACTCCATCAACACCAAATTTCTTTCTAATTCTCCTCTCTTTCTGCTCCTTATAAGTGATCTTCGGTTTTGCCTTCCTCTTCTTCCCTCCCCCTCTCGACTTAAAGGTTCCACCACATAAATGTTCCGGCAATACCTCTCCCTCACCCAACTGATCTCCCATAAACGCACCATCTTTCAATAGTACACCTTGTCCCCAAAGTCCATCGCCCGTATATCCCCTCTCCCAAAGCCCCTTCATCTCCGTCGAATACTCATTTCTAACTTTCCAGAATGCTCCAGAATGATTCATTTGTTTACAATGCGCCAACTCATGCATCATAACCATCTGAACAAATTTGAACGGTAGCCATCTTCCTGTTGAAGGCGATTTGAGTACAAGTTGTATGACTTCTCCGTTATTGAAATTGCGACCTGCATATTTGATCAGTATATCCGGCATGAGCTGAGAAGGGGGATCATACCCCAGAATTCTAGATTGGGAGGATACTCTTCCAGTGATGCGACCGCGAGATGATGTTTGTTCATTATGGGAGTACATTGTGCAGCAATTCGTTCCAAAAATTCTTGAGATTTGGATTGATCTTCACCAGAGAGGGGTTTGATGAAGACGATGTTACTATTTGGTTGTGTTCTTTTGGCATTGATTCTCTCCCAACCTAAAGGCATTATGTCGATTTCTTAAGGGAGTGAAGGAAGATAGTCTTTGTACCAGCAAATCAACGTCTTCTTATGTATATTGAGGAGGAGATGAAGGTAGGTACCTAGGTAGTGATAGAAAGAACCAGATGTGAAGAGGGGGGGCGATAACGATAAGACTTCGCGTGTAGGAAAGAACGCGCTCAGAGCGCCTGATCACGTGTAGCACTGCTCAAGCACAGCGCTTGGTCCACATCTGCATGACCGACGCAAGTCTAGACTTTTTCGGAGCAGATTTATCTCCCCGACCTTGACCTCTCATGGCCAAGGTATTACCATGAACGTGATGACGGCTTTGTATGCCGAGACCCGAATTGGGCTTTCAATGGTCTATGTTTCCCCAAGTATTGATAAATCAATTATATAAATGATTGAATGCGGGGAGCTTGGCAAGAGCCGCTCCGAAATACATGACAATTAGCTTGATGTTAGAGTGGTAAGCGGTCGTATGTGCCACAATAGTATACTCTAGACATAGTTGTCTGTTCTACTATATATACCTCTATTTCCTTGGAGATGTACTTTTCTTTCGTATGCTCAAACCTCCTTCTCCAAGTCTTCTTGTTATATTCTACCCATAATTTACTTTTGATACCATATACCATCTCATAAACCAGACCAAAGTCTTCCCGATAGTTTTCTCTATGATGTCAGCACCCACTCAACCCAAGAAACCTTTCCACGTCGCTATTTGCGGTATGTTTCAACCTAAAAATCAGAGTAAACTTCACCTAACAACCATTCAGGCGGAGGTATTGGTGGATTATGCATGGCAATTGGTCTCATAAAACAAAACATTCCATGCATAGTATACGAAGCCGCGCCTGCATTTGCGGAAATTGTATGTTCACATGTTTTCTTTCATAACTTACTCTGATGCTCATATTTCATAGGGTGCAGGAGTATCATTCGGACCCAATTCCATCAGAGCAATGGAATTGATAGATCCAGCTATCAAACGAGGCTTTAATAATTGCGCAACCTACAATGGATCACCAGAAGAAAGAGATGTCTGGTTTGATTTCCGGATAGGCACGTCCGAAGAAGGTTGGAAAGAATTCAAAACAGGAAAGCCACCTGTTAAAGAAGGGGAATTCCTGGCTAAAGTTGTGGCGGAAGGTTATGGACAAGCTTCTGTCCACAGAGCTCACTTTCTCGATGAATTGGTTAAATTGGTTCCAAAAGAAATCGCGCAATTTGGAAAAAGAGTTGAGAAGGTAGAGGAGAAGGGAAGTAGGCTATTGATGACTTTCCAGGATGGAACGACGGCAGAGGCGGATGCGGTGATTGGGTGTGATGGTATCAAATCGAGGACCAGACACATGGTTCTTGGCGATGATCATGAAGCCACTTTACCGGTATTTAGTGGGAAGTATGCATATAGAGGTCTGATTCCCATGGAAAAGGCGATTGGAGCTGTTGGAGAATATTTAGCCAAAAACAGTCAAATGTATTTAGGCCATAAGAGTCACGCAAGTATTCTTCCCTCATCTGATTCAATATACACTAATATCACTTTAGATCCTAACATTCCCCATTGAAAAAGGCGCCACAATGAATGTCGTAGCTTTTCAAACGCAACCGGATGGAAAGTGGGAAAACAAAAAATGGGTTATTCCAATGAAAGAGTCAGACATGTTCTCTGATTTCGAAGGCTGGGGTAAAGATGCAAAACATATTCTATCGCTTATGGAAAAACCCGACGTTTGGGCTCTCTTCGATCACCCCCCTGCTCCAACTTACTACAAAGGTAGGCTTGTGCTCTTGGGTGACGCAGCTCATGCAAGTACTCCCCATCAAGGAGCAGGTGCGGGGCAAGCTATCGAAGATGCCTTTGTTTTGAGTAATTTACTCGGAGACTGTAAGGAAGTGGGTGACATTGAAGGGGCGTTTAGAGCGTACGACGAGATTAGGAGGCCAAGAAGTCAAAAGGTAGTGAAGACAAGTAGAGAAGCAGCGGAACTTTATGAATTCGAGAATGAGGATGTAGGGGGTGATAGCGTAGATGTGAATATTGAGAGTATGAAGGAGAAATTGGTGGAAAGGTGCAAGTGGATTTGGAATGAAGATCTAGGGGCGCAGCTGGATAGTGCTAGGAGGGTTATGAGGGCAGGGGGCGAGAGGGCTAATCTTTAAACGGCGAGAGGGATTTGGAATGTAAGTTGGACAACAACCAATATGAAGGTCATGGAACAAGATGTAAAATATTTTCTATTTTTGTTGCTGCGTGGTTTTAACAGCGCACCTGGGAGAAGTGCAAACAGTTACCTCTGTATTGGAAGATTTGTGTTATCGAACAAGATATCTTTGAAAAAGCAGTTACTCATCCAGATCAACATTCGTGACCTCAGTATATTCAATCAACGTATCGTACGATTCTTCTTACCAATTTTTTGGTGGGGCAGTTCTCCCAAAACAATTTACAGCTATATTCTTCGCTTTAATTGATTTCCTATCATGCTTTAATCAACATCTCCTGCAAGTTTGTCTGCACGAGATGGTACTATATACCTGACTATCCGGGTACTTAAAAGTCTAGCTCATGCATCAAAAGCAAGGAGACGTCATTTCTCTCTGTATTTCATCCGATTCGTCTACGTAAACCCCACCACATCCCCCACCATAAGCCTCTGCCACTTCTCCACACACTCCCCAATTCTGACCAACACGCCCGCAGCAAGTAATCTCCTCTTCTCATCTTCCTCACTCCCCGCGCCAATCCCTTTAAAAACCCCTTCAACCCACTCCCTCGTCTCCAATAATTCCCGCCCATGTCTTTCCGCCAGACCCCTAAGATCTCCATCATTAATCTCCAAAATCGTCATAAAAGAAAACAATAGCGCTTCTTGCACCACCGTATCTGTCATCGCTTGTATTCTTAAACCAAGACATAAATCCCAAAACTCGCTCGTCATTTGTGGAAGACTTAGTGTTGATTGTCCCGAAGAGTGGAGGATTATACTAAGGGTTTTGAGAAAGAGACTGAGGAGATAGGGTTGGAAAGCGATGTTGGAAGAAGAGTTTGAACCGTAGGCTTTGAGATGAATGAAAAAGCGACCGGTTAAGGGGAAGAAGAATGAGGTAGAGACAATTTTGGCAAGGGCATTCGAGATAGGCTTTTTACGCTTCTTCTCGACCTCGAGACGCGAGGAGAAAGTGCGGACTTTAAGAATATTTGGACCGCTTAAGCTGTCGGCTGTTTGGGCTGCAAGAGGCGCGAGGAAAGTTTTTTGCAGGCTGCTGGTTAGGGCTTCGACGGGGTTTCCGGTTGCGCTAAGAGCAGTAAGAGCAGGTTTTGAAGGGGACGGAGAATAGTATTTGTGCATTGCTTCTGGGAGCTTTTTTGAAGGAAACGACGATGAAGATAAAGATGAGCCAGTGGCATTGGCGAGAGACTTGTCTTCAGAACCATGGCCACCTAGCTCCCGAGCTCCGAGACCGAGTGTGGTAAGAACAGCAGCACGCTGAGCTAGAGAGTAATCGCCATCAAAGAATGTCTTCGAAAACCATTGGCCCATTTTCTCTGGTAGTGCAATGAGGATGGCTATCATAGCTTGTGAACGCATTTCTTGGAAGTTCTCAATATCATATTTGTCTTGCAAACCAACAAGAAGAGTTGCGATCTCTTCCGCGTGAGAACTGACCTCTGCGCCAAAGTTGGCTTTACGCCGTATCAAGGAAGCTGCAGTGGAAAGTGCTAGTTTTTGACGATCGTAATTTTCAGTATCTCTTAGATAGGTGATGAGATCACGAATATAGACGGGAGCTGTTGGTTTGTTTCTGATGATAAGCGTTGGATCTTCATCAGAGTCTTCGACATCGGAATCAGGCTTGGCATAAGGAGTAAGTCCATCGTCATCAGATTCGACCTCGTCGTCATCTTCAATTTCTTCAATGGAGATGATTTTAGAATTTCCTTTGAGGGGGTTTGATTTTGACGCTGACTTTGCCTTTGCAGCTTTTGTTGTTTTCGATACTTTTGGAACAAACGTCGACTTGAGAGGCTCGAGATTGCCAATTGTATCTGATACGTTTACCAAACTCTTGTACCATTTTGCCTCGGAAGTTTTCGTATCTTCAATCTTAAAATCCATCATTTTATCTCCTTTATCGACTAAACTAGACATAGCTTCTCCAATAACCATACCCAAAAAGCGTGCTCGAGGTGATGATGCAGCTAATCTATTTGAAACAACACTCAAATGAGAACCCGACCTCATGATCATCGCAAGTCGAAGAGGCGACAATCTACAAACGTATCCGGCAGACAGGAGGAGAACTTGAGCATGTACTTTGAATCATGTTAGCAAAGGGATAGTATTTGATTGCTTGAAATAGCATACCTTCTTGTTGCAAGGTAGGCGCATGTCTAATATACAAATTATCACCAAATTGGCTCAAACTTCTTTCCAATATACTTTCCATATCCTTCTTACTTTTTGAGAGGGATGCGATTGCAGCACGTCGGATTGCCACACCTTCGCCTATACCAGCCCCTGAGGAGTTCGTCAACCAAGATATCAGATGATCTTTCCGCGACTCATGATCAGCGATTAGCATGCTAATGAGCTTAGACGCTGCTGATACGATGACTGCATCTGCTTGCCACCACTTCTCATCATCCTCCGATGTGATATCCAATGATAGGTTATCCCGTGAAAGTAGATTTAGAAATGTATAAAGTAGATTCCGTTGTTCGAAGCTTGGAAGGTATCCATACAGCTTCAAGAATTTTACTGAATCTTCTTCTTTTTGTAGGAGTAGAGACCCTAAAACCTCTTTGGCAATATTATCTGGACCCCGGTGAGCGATTAAATCAAATCAATCCAGCTAGTAGTCTTACCAATATGACCAAGCCTAAGACACTTCCCAAAGAGTTCGTTACAGCTCTTCCATGCTTGCTCGGAGTCTTGTGGCAGGACTTTCAACCAGAAGATGATATTTTGACCCAGCCATCTGCTATAGGAGCCTCCATCGGCAACCCAATACTTGTCATTTGGCTGTTTACTGAGTTCATTAGAGATTGCTTCGGCCTCCGCAGTGATACCAATAATCTTTCCACTTCCTATCAAGGCTAAGAACTCGTTGAAAAGAGCTCTCTGCTTGATGGGGACATCAGATGAACTGGTGATAGTGTTCCAGAGCTTTTCGATGGTGCTTTCCCCTTCAAGAACCTCAACACAAAGTTGCAGCTGTATCTTCAGACTCTCTTCGATACTTGAACCTATATATCGTTAGATCATCAAATTGATAGCTTCTTTAGACCTAATTTTCGGCTAGCTCACCTCCTATTTTCTTCTTAGTCTCCTTGGATTGCTGCGCGAGTCGCTTTAAATTCAGTAATATAGCATTAATACCGGTTGTACTTCGAATTGATTTAAGCAGTGATTTGAAAATAGGAGATTGCTTGTTGTTTCTGGCCTTGCTGCCTGACTCATGAAAAATACTCCAGTAGTTGGGTGTGACTTCAGACACCAAAACATGTACCAACTGAGAAGCCAGGGGACCCGGAGAAGTAATACTAAAATCTGTTTCATCGTCAAGAAATTTCAGAGCCGACTTCAAGTCATCAAAACTGGGCTGATTTTTCAGCGTTTCCAATGCTTGTTCAGCGCTTGATGTGTGTATAGGATTTGAATGGGTCTTCTTGACTGGCTGGATTAATGGTGAAGAGGTAGAAACCTCAATAAGAGCATTTTCATCCTTTTGCTCTTGTCTTTTATAGACTATACTCACTGGTGTGAGTAGATCATCCATAGCTGCATTAAATTTAGTTAATGATCAACTCCGAGTAGATTCTTAGATTCAAGTAATTTTTGAATTCTCAGAGTCTACAGTACTTAGCACAGCTAGGTATACGGCGGGCGGTCGCGGCTAGCGCGTTTGCGATAGCGCTAACAAGGTCATGCACCTCGATAAGAAGACACTCCATTTCCAAGAGTTCGGAGCTATTTCGACCATACAATTCTCCTTCTCTACAACAATTTCCTTTACCACAGAGAAGTACTCGAGAAATTATTAAATACCCAAAGTCTCTAATTATGGCAACCCAAACAATCTCAAGATGGTACGTATCCTCTTGCGATCTGTTTACTGTCAAACTAACAATTTGAAGGACTTATTTGGACAATATCCGTCGAACTCCTGGACCATTTACTGATGAGGAGTTTGATGGTAGCGAGGCATGCACTGCTCTCCTTGACCACATGAAAATCTTGTAAGTTTGAACTTTCTTAAAAGAAAGAAAGAAAATATTGCTAATACGTCTCCAGGGTAATGTTGGTTGCCTAGGAAGTTCACAGAATGTAGCTCTGAGTGCTAACAGAAAGTAGCGGAGCAGGAGGTCTTGGTTGTGAAATCTTGAAGAATCTAGCGCTATCAGGATTCAAGACGATTCATGTGATTGATATGGGTACTTCTTTGTTCAACCCAATCTGAGATAACACTATAACTAAGCTGTTGTAGATACAATCGACGTTTCAAATCTGAATCGACAATTCCTTTTCCGCCATAGCGACGTTGGCAAGTCCAAGGCTGAAGTTGCCGCCAAATTTGTGGAAAAACGAGTAAAGGGTGTCACGATTGTACCGCATAATTGCAAGATCCAAGACAAGGATGAGGAATTCTACATGCAATTCAGCATTGTTGTATGCGGGTTAGACAGTATCGAAGCCCGACGATGGATTAACTCTAAATTGGTCGACATGGTTGATATGGAAAATCCGGACAGTCTGAAGCCATTGATAGATGGGGGTACCGAAGGTATTAGAAATGTTCCGAGTATTTAGAGCAAATTTGCTAACGGTATTATGTAGGATTCAAAGGTCAATCCCGTGTAATCCTACCAACTATGACTTCCTGTATCGAGTGTCAACTCGATATGCATGCCCCAAGAGCCGCAGTTCCTCTCTGTACGCTAGCTACAATTCCTCGCCAACCAGAGCATTGCATTGAGTGGGCTCACATTATGGCATGGGAGCAAGAGAAGCCATTTCCTAAGCTAGATAACGATGATCCAGAACATATCACATGGCTTTACAAGAAGGCCCTAACAAGAGCGCAAGAATTCAACATCCCGGGTGTTACTTATTCTTTGACACAGGGAGTGGTCAAAAATATCATTCCAGCAATTGCCTCAACCAACGCGATAATCGCGGCAAGCTGTTGTAACGAAGCGTTCAAAATCGCAAGCAGTACCAATCCTTCTCTTGGTTTGGAAGAAAATTACATGATGTACAGTGGAGACGACGGCATTTACACTTACACCTTCAAGCATGAGAAGAAGGACGACTGTCCCGTTTGTGGAAACTTGGCAAGGGATTTGAGCATCGACCCCAATCTGACTCTTCAGGAGTTCATCGATTCTCTTGCACATAGACCAGAAGCACAGCTCAAGAAACCTTCAATTCGTTCAGCCGACAATAAGTCTTTGTACATGCAGAGCCCGGAGAGCTTGCGCGTGAAGACTGAGCACAACTTGTCGAGGAAGATTGGAGAAATGACAGGGGACGGGGATGAGGTTGCAGTGACAGATCCGTCATTAGGTTCAGTCATGTTCAAGTACAGACTGAAATTTTCCAGGGAATTTGTGGCAGATGCTGCTGCGGATGAGAGTGTGTCTGCTTAGCCGGAGTTTAGCTGGGAAAACACGAAGAAGAATGAATGATGTGAAAATGAAGTAGATTTAGCGGGATCATAGGCAAAAGGAGTTCTGATAGCTTGCATATCTAGTTGCCTATGACTAGGTTATGAGAGAATGATCTCATATAAATAGCATTGATTTTTTGGTTATAATAAGCTCTTTAGAATCTAGATACCCATTTATCCACGAATAAACCAACCAACGCCATATTTCCTAAAACTCCTGCAATGCTCCCCTATATATCTCCACAAATTACTTCGTCATGTTTTGTAAACTCGTCTTGAATGCTTCACACTTTGTTCTCAATGTCTTGATCGACTCCAGAAACAATTCATCACTATCCCATTGTCCCAAGCTCTCGATCGAGAAAATGAAATGATCTCTGACTCTTCCCAATTTGACCTTGCCTTGGAATTCCTCATGTCTCAAACATTCTCTGCTGACCGTATCCCTCATAGCATCTACAACCACTGCCTTGTCCTCACCCTCGTGTCCTTCATATCCACTTCCTTTAATCTTTGCCTCCTTGGCAGTAACCTTCTCAATTCCAATAACGCCGTCAGGGAAACATCTCTTGAACTTCTTTGCGTCTTTGCCCAAGATTGGTTGAGTAATATCGATCACTGGCAATAATCGATATGAAGCTGTAGCTACCGGCGAAAACTTGGCGTGATCCCTTCCAATTCCCTTAATTGCATGCATATCGATATCAATGACTTGACCGGGTCTCATCTTCGCGATCAAAATATCTGGGTTAGGACTCTTGATAGTATTCTCGCCGCTGAAATACTCGAGTTGTCTTCCAAAAGGCTTAAATTCGATATCCTTCGCATATACATGTGCATTGTGGTATTTTTTTCTTGGGTCTGTTTCTCCTGGAGCAGCTTCCTTGTTGCGCGTACATTCGACTTTCAGGGTCAATTGAATGGTGTTATGATCGAAAGAGCCGAGATGACGTTCTTCTTCGGGGGTTTCTTCCTCGGGCTTTTGGAACCATTTCATGAAATCTAATAGTCCTTCTTTCCCCCCTTGAATGGTACGAGACCGAGACGAGCGCAGAGAACTTCATCTTGGATTACAGAAGTGTTGTTTTTGACGAAACAGTATTCGATAGCGAGTGTGGGGATTTCAGCAATGAGAATTCGACGGAATGCATTGGCGACCGAGGCATCGATGCCAATGAGGGAGAATGAGGAGAGTAGTGGTTCGTTTTGGTGGAATTGTACTTTGAGGTTCTCGGCGAATCTTTGTTTATTCCACGCATGATCTTCGTTAGGCCAATGGCCTGGGAAATCTGTGGATGTGATGTCGGTGACGGTTTCGGTGTTTATTCCAACTATCTATGAATGGAATCAGAAATGAAATCAGTGTACATTTGAAGACTTTGTACCTTTCTAGCAGCCAATTCTCTTTCAGAAAAGCTTCTGGGTGGTGGGGCATCAGCCGCAGTATGTTTTTGTTTTGGTGCCATTTTGTATAATTCTCCAAACCCAAATAAAAAATCGATCGCGGGGTCGTTCTACTCTCAGTCGCACTGTCGCAAAGATTCTGAAGATACAAAAAAATAAATTTTGATATCGGCATCAAAGATCAACCGGCGCCGACCCTTGCTATCCATGACAGCCAATCAAATGATCTTAAATAAGCAAAGCTAAACAAAAGATCCGTGCTAAGAAGTCAAGAACATCATCAAGATAATCAAAGAGGCAAACGCTAAAACGGCCTCACTCTCCACTCCCCAGTCTCATTGTCTCTCTCAAAACATTGAGATCTGGTAAGAATCATCCAGTATCTCTTCAGTTTTGTTCACAATGGTCGCATCACTATTCCGGCAGGCCGGGCGCACAGCTACTAGATGCTCGTTGCGACCCACCACACTTCGTCCCTCAACATCAAGAGCCTCAATTAGAGCATTTTCAGCACTCCCAGCCCGCAGATACGCAGAGCCATACGAGGGCACAAGATTAGTTCCTACCGATGAACATTTTGCATTTAACAACACTCCAGATCATCTCGATGTAGCTCCCGATTCCAGACTGCACGAAGACGAAAATGTGGAGAAGAGGAAGATTCGCCATTATACCGTGAACTTTGGCCCTCAACATCCGGCTGCTCACGGTGTGTTGCGTTTAATTTTGGAGCTTAACGGAGAGGAAATTGTGAGGTCGGATCCTCATGTCGGTTTATTGCATCGGGGAACTGAGAAGTTGATCGAATATAAGACATACATCCAGGCTTTACCATACTTTGATCGATTGGATTACGTTTCTATGATGACCAATGAGCAATGTTTCTCTTTGGCTGTTGAGAAGTTGCTAAATGTTGAGATTCCTGAGAGAGCAAAGTGGATTCGAACACTTTTTGGTGAAATCACTAGAATTTTGAATCATCTTATGTCGGTTTTGTCTCACGCAATGGATGTTGGTGCTCTTACACCTTTCTTGTGGGGTTTCGAAGAACGTGAGAAGCTTATGGTAAGGAAATTTATTATTATTGATTTTGACTATCTAAGAAAATGTAATGGTGCTGATATCCAACGTAGGAATTCTACGAACGAGTTTCAGGAGCCCGCTTGCACGCTGCATATGTTCGTCCAGGTGGTGTCCATCAAGATATTCCAGTTGGGCTTCTTGACGACATCTACCAATGGGCCACTCAATTCGGCGACCGTATCGACGAAACTGAGGAACTGCTTACCGATAATAGAATTTGGATTGGAAGAACGAAAGGTGTTGGTGTCGTTTCAGCCGCTGACGCTCTGAACTTGAGTTTCACTGGTGTCATGCTTCGAGGTAGTGGTGTTCCATTTGACATCCGTAAGAGCCAACCTTATGATGCATATGACCAAGTCGACTTCGATGTTCCAGTTGGTGTTCATGGTGATTGCTACGATCGATACCTCTGCAGAATGGAGGAATTCAGACAATCCCTCCGAATCATTCATCAATGCTTAAATAAGATGCCAGCTGGACCAATCCGAGTAGAGGACTACAAGATCTCTCCACCACCCCGTGCTGCTATGAAGGAGAACATGGAAGCACTTATCCACCACTTTTTACTATTCACCAAGGGATACACTGTTCCACCTGGAGAGACTTATTCCGCAATCGAGGCACCAAAGGGTGAAATGGGTGTGTATGTTGTAAGTGATGGAAGCGAAAGACCATACCGATGCAAGATTCGCGCGCCAGGTTTCGCTCATTTGGGTGGATTCGATCAAATCTCAAGAGGACATTTACTTGCTGACGCGGTTGCTATCATTGGTACCATGGATTTGGGTAAGTTTTCATGAAAACATTTGTCGCTTCGCTTGTAGATCCATGCTAATCATACTCGCAGTCTTCGGAGAAGTTGATCGGTAGTCGTGATTCGACGAAAAGGAAAGTGAGAAAGGAAAATAAGATGCCGGTGATGGTACAGTGGTTTTAAGCAATTCCGGCGCAGATTTTTCTCCTTTGTTCTCAATGTACAAATTCTAAGTGAAAGGCTGGGTTAGCATAGTTCCAGCATTGCACGACATAAATGACTATCCCAAAAAAATTATCTGCATTTGAAAACTTACTTAAAATTTTTGCCTTGTTCTTGCTTGGTCCCTTTACATTGTTGAGTTTGGTCGTGGCATGCTGCTGATGACTCTTGGCGTACGCAACAGGGAAATGTTCATAGTAGCAGGTGTATCTTGAGAGTGCATTTGAGCTTGTCCCTGAGTATTTGCTTGAGTAGTTGCTTGTGTCGCCTGAGAATCAGTTTGAACTGGACCGGTAGTAGTAGTCATCTGCATTTGAAGTTGTCCCATAGATTGAGTGGTTCTAGCTCTATGAACAGTGTTGCGTTGAGTATTGCCATTCCCATGACGTTCATTGCGTCTAGCTCCATTATGACCCTCATTGAAATATCTCGGAGCAGCAGGGGCTACCAAAGGCAAGTCCCCTAGATAGGGAACCTGTGGTGGGAGTGGGGGTAAACCATTATCCGGAGCGTGCCATACCATTCTTGCGCCAGAAATACCACGAGGAAGAGGGGAGAATGTGGGAGCACGAGTAAATCGGCTCATTGGCTGGTGTTCGGCCATGGAGACTGCAGCAGCACCTTGAGCGCGTGTTTGGGGTGAGCCATGTGCATTAGTATTGGCACCGGTGCTGGCATTGAAATGAGGGCGTTCCATGTAGTAGCCTGCGTAGTTATAGGTATCTCGCTGGGCATCGATGTTCATGGCTTGGTGTTGCGGATAGATCATTGGATAGCTGGTTGGATCTGCAAATACAGTAGGAGGAGCATGTTGAAATCTAGGTTGGCTAGGTGGACCTGCTTGACCGTATGCTCGAGGATCCATGCCACCAACTGGTGCTATTTCGGAAACGTGCATTGGCATTGGCATTGTCGCATTAGGCTCCGGATTGGGACTCCAAGAGTACTGGTTTCCAGGGTAGATAGTGCTATCATTTCCATCGCTGTAAGTAGATGGAGCGAAACTGGGACTCTGATAGCTAGGAGGACCTGAAGAAGGGGGTGGAGGCATCTCGAAAGGGTGAAATGCATGAGTTTCAACTCTGTGATTGGCGAGAATGGGATGTCCTGGAGGATAGACACCCATGTTTGACATTCTTGGATCAGGGGGGATGATCATCATATCTCCGTACATAGGAGATGAACTTGTTCTAATGGGTGGGTTCTCGATGGGCCGAGCAGGTACAACGCCCGTAACGGGATTCATGTCGTATAGACCTCCTCTGTGGACGTTGGCGATCTGGAAGTATCGGTGGGAAGAGGCTGGATCGCGGGGGTGAGGGCTGCGATATCCCGGTGGTGTAGTGTTCATCATAGATTCAATGTTTGATCCTTGCATAATAACGTTATTTCCACCAATTTCTTTCGTTTGTGTGCCTTTTCCATCGCGTCGTTCGCCATTGTTGTTATCGCCAGTGTTATCGATTGTACCTGCAGTATTCGCACCAGCATTTCGGCCTCTTCCTCGTCCCCTGGTTCTAGCTCTTCCATTTCCATCTCTCCCATTCCCATTGCCATTTTCCTCTCCCTCTCTCCTAAAATCTCTAGCCTCCAAATCACTATCCCGCTCTCTCTCCCGACGCTCTCTTTCTGCTCTATCAAATATAACCTCACACTTACACTCTCCTCGCTCATGTCTCTCTCGATGAGCATTCTCTTCGGCTATAACGCTCATATTCCAACTTACGCGCATGCAAGCATGACAGAATTGGTTGGCAGGAATGGATTGCAAGGCCGGAATAGAACAAGGGGGGAAATTCTCGTTTTGAGCGGTAGTTGGGCATCTTGTAATGCAGGGCAAGCTGCAATGGCCACAGGTGTAGCCCCAGAACGTCTTGAAGCACATGATGGGCGATTCGAGGGTTGTGCGAGCGATGTGATAGTTTGTGGTCGAAAATGTGTCTGATTTGTCGTTTAATGGTTTTGCATGCGTATCAAAGTGTTATTTCGTACGAAATTCGGTGTTATTTTGTTGATATTGAGGCTATTATTGCAATCTTAGTTGTGAAGGAGGAATAAGAAAGGTTGAGAAGATGTAGTTCGAGGATTAGTTCGAGATTTGAAGTCGTGTTTCAAAAAGTTAGGTGGTAGCGTGGTGAAGGGGTTCGATTCCAGGTAAGTGAATGGAAGTCGCTTTATCGAAAGATTATTCAAAATTGTAAAAACTTTCTGTATATCCAATCAAATTGTCAAATTCAAGTACGTGGGAGTGTTATTTGAGAGTTTGGTGGTCGTATGGTATGGGAGATTGATAGATATGACCTGGATCGGGACGTAATAGTTAGTTAATGTTCCGATCCAAAAGAGAGAGGTTTTGAGGAGGAATCGGGAGTAAATAGAGACGTACCTTATCATGCAAGAACTTCGTAGAGTCAATTTTCTTAACGAGAAGTAATACTGCTGTCGTTGAATACTGTTTTATGTTTGTGTGAGTACTTGGTTAGATTGTGCAATGAGGTCTACAGACTACAATTGGATTATGCTCTCCCGTTTTCGAAGTTTCAAGGAAAACGATGGGAAGGAGAAAGAATGAAAAAAATGCATGATGCATACCTTCTGTGGAAGAAGACTCGAAGAATTGATGGTGGAGACTCTGAAATATCAGCAAGCCTTCGTGGAGCTATTCGGAGAGATCATGTTAGAAGTGCTCAAAGCTCTAATCCTTGTTTGAAAGATATAGACGAAGAATATTGAGGGTAATTAGGAGGATAAAGGAGAGGGATACTCGTTAAAGAGTAGCTATACGTACATTGATCGATCTGCGAGGAGAAACGCAAGGTTCTCAATAACTTTGAAGCTCTCTCTTTCCAGAGCAGTGGTAGTAATGGTAAGTATTTTGTTCTCCAAGGTAGCAAGTAAGTTAGAAGAAGTTCTGATAAAGTGTTGCTCTGGGGGACTCACGCAATTATGGTTGTCTTTTGTAGAGTTGTATTGAAAGAAAGAGGGCAGCTCTAGAGATACTACTTTATGCTCGAGGCCTTCAGAGTATGGGCGAGATCGGAGCGATAAGGAGGTGAATATGAGGAAGACAAAGAAGAATAGTGGAGATCACGGGGCCATTTATCCAAATTTTCTTGCAGATATCTCGGATTTTTACTCCAGATATTGCAGGATGAGGGGTATTAAAGCGGGTACTGGAGATGTACTAGCTGTTCTTGCGTCATTGGGAACCTTGATAGAGAAGGAGCTGTTGAACTGCATATCTGTTAGGAATATGGGGCTTGGCAGAGTTTGTTTGTGGGCTATTGTGATGATTGTTAATGATATCTGGTGAATATGACTATCTAGTGCTTGCTTCTGCCTTGTTTGATCAAGTATGTAGCATCTTGTGGTATCTTTTAGTACTTGAGCTTCATTCAATGTACTTTGTGAGTGTTTTGTTAATACTGTCAATGAACATTTGATTTATGTCCTTTGATGTTTATTTTAATGCTAATATCATTACGACTGGAGAAAGAAGTATAAAAATCAGTGTTCTCCTTGAGAATTCATTATATGATTCACAAACATGTATATGAGAATAATTAAACTCTCAGTTTCATTAATAAAAGTAGAAAATAACACAGAAACTGATGTTATAGAGAGATTCATTAGAGTAGACATATCATTAAGTGAATTTTAGTCAAATTAAGGTCAGAATATTTGATTTAAATACTCTTTATAAATTTTTAAGACATCCCTATGATGTATATGAAGGTAAAAAAGGGGCCTTAGAAAATTTCTCGGCAAATGAAGGCTAAAATAGGGGACTTGGACATTTTGAAAGACACAAATGTTGAGATCATGCTAATGTTGATGAATCATGAATAACAATGAAAAGAGTATAGTTCATGTTGGACTGTTGGAAATCCATATTTTGAAGGTCCAGATCGAGTATCAAGTCTTCGAGAGGGTTTAATACTTAGTTCAGAATCGTACAATTAGATTCCTACAATTCTCGGGACGAGAGTTGGCAAGCAAGTATATAGCTTGTTTCGGCAATTAGTTTATCTTTCAGGGCTGTAAACCGAACTGAGATCAGACGAAAGCTTTGTTCAGAAGTCCGTCACCAACTTTTTGTGAGCTTTTGGGATAAGCTCGAACAGCGGATAGTAAAAGTTGTTTGGGGATGAACTTACCTTTTGGAAAGAGGAAACAGGACTATAGAGGACAATAAAGGCTGAATATCTCATTGATAAAGGCACTTTACTTATCTTTTAAGACGAAATCCAATGGTCAACAGTCGAAATTTGTTATAAATTTATGTCTCTTTTAGGACCAGAAAGTTGAAAGAACAAGACTAGTGAGAATCATTGTCCCAAGCAGATCTCAACTTTCAGCTTCCTTCAAGCTCTCGAGAGACGAGACGTAGTAGGAAAGAGTTGAGATTTTCTATAATTTAGTTCATTCCTTAAGCTCACAAGATTGAATAAAAAGACTACTGTAAGCTGTTGTCTTGGGCAGATTTCGACTTTCAATGACCTGAAGACTTCTTGAGACGAGATCTGCTGGACAAAAGTTGAAATTTCTCATCAAGCCATCCACTTTTTAAACCTAAAAAATTGAAAAAACAAGACTATTGCATGCTATTATCATTTAAAGATCTCGACAATCAATTTGCTTTGACGTCTCGAGACGAGAACATGCTGGAACATAGTACATCTAGTTTGAGGGAAAATCAACCTTTGAAGAGTTCGAAGCCAATAGTTTAGGGCAGCAGTGAGTATAATTCTAAGTAAGACTTCGAGTTTCAACTTTTTCTATTCAAACTCATCTCAAGATTCAGCAAACAGGATGAGAGGTTGTTCAAAAATGAATTTGTATTTGAAGGATAGAAAGCTGAGCATGTAAGACGAAGGGGTACTGATGTATATGTCTAGGATTGCAGCTCAGAGGGTACATATACAGATTCCTGAAGCCTGTATTTACAGCTTGATTTCGCTCCTTCCAGAAAGCGTGTATTTAAAGCCTGATGTTTGCTCCTTCCTGATAAAAGTGATTTTGATTCACCGGGATGTAAAGTTTAAAAGGGGAAAGAGTGTTAGGGTGTATATGTATATGCTTAGGATTGAAGCTAAGAACAGGATAAATACAGATTACTTTTGTACTTTCTCTCTTTTCTCTCTTGATAGTTCACAATATCAATTGAAAATATTCAATCCTTACAGTCTACCAGCTCTACTCGATAACAGAATATAACTGATTTTTTAGAAGCAGCATTATGCTCTCTGAGGTCCTCCTGATTATTTCTTGGACAGTCAATAATGCTATCAAATTCACTACTAGTTAGGCCAACTTTATGCTTGATTTGCATCAATCATGTAATCCTACATTGGTTCTATCCTGATCTATATGAATGACAGGGAGAATTATCAAGGCCACAATGTTCAAAATTAAGGCCCGCTCGAATCATTTTTAGGCGATGCAGAGCTAGATTTGTTATCAATATAGACCTAAATGAGTGTTTACTGAATGTTAACTTAGTTCTACAAATTAGATTGTCAATAAAATTCAAAATAAAAAGGAACTTGCTGAACTCACAAATATCGCTACCTACAGAAAGCTAACAAATGTACAAATTTTAGGAATTCAATCTGTATAAAAGCGTCACCAAGTAATTTGTAACAGGAATTAGACCAGCATATGCCAACAAAATGTCACTCTACATTATATAAACCTACGAAATTTAACTCTGCATTATTCAGATCTACAAAACTTAGCATGAATTAAAGCACTAACCTTGTGTGGCAACAATCAAGAAAAAAGATCCGAACGGGCTCTTAATATGGAGAAGTGCCTGGAATTGATGTTGGAGAGAGAAGCTAATCCCATTCGTCTAACCTACCTCTTTCTGAACTTCACTCGATTCACAGATATTCAACGAACTTTCTCTTCACTTAAAATCTCACTTGGACTGCCCTCAATTTGTTTTTGTGTCGTGCAGCAGTAATCATGTTGAGTTAGGAAATCTCCGACTTGAAAAACAGGTTATGTTCTTCGAAACCCAGTGAATCTCGAAAATCTTTTCAATTCATACCCGATCCTATTAACCTCAACCTTCAAGACTGCGTCTTCCCCCGAACGATCTGTACTATGTAAAGTGAATAGCTTCAACCTAGAAAGGTGGTGAGAGTGGTGAATGAGGAAAGTGTTATTTTAGTATTGTGGTTACAGTCCATTCCGCTTTTCCTGACCAGGTTCGTAGCCTCCGATGAGCATTCCGATTTCCATGTCGCAAAAAAATTCAGTCCTTGATGAGTATTTCGAGCTTCGAAAATTTCATCCAATGAGTGTTTGAGAGTTTCACGTCGCAGCTTATCTTACTCCTTTATGAAAGGCTGTATTTATAGTGTGGCCCAACGTCTTTTCGAAATCTCTATGATTATAGTTAAATCCCGTTAGTTTTCGATAAAGGTGGAGCGATTGCTGATTCCGATTCCTGATTTGGTTTCTTACTAATGATGGTGATATCGATCAAGGTTCATGAGGATGTGAAGTCAAGAAGTGTGAAGAGTATCAGGCGTGTATGTGATTAAGTCAGCCTAGGAGGTAAGGGAGAGTCACTATTGTTTTTCATTTGTAGGTGGAATTATATGTTTTTACAGTTTAAAACCTCAGGTGAAACTATTGGACCCATCGAATTCTGCAATCCGTACTGGGTGACAGAAAATATCCAAGCGCAGGACTGAATTAGCTGGAGATATATCGGAAAAGCTAGAGAGCTATGAGATAAAAATACTTTCATTCGGTGTCATAAAGACTCAAGATTATTAACAAACTATTGTGGAGATAGACGTCCGAAATATGCATTTTCATCAGGGATGTGTACCGCCGTTTACTCTCGCCCAAACTCTTTCCCGCAGCCTCTTGATATACTTCCGAGGTACAGTATGGCAACGATCACACAATAGAAGTAGTGCACTTCCTGCCCCCGCAGTTTTCGAAGGCGCTCACCATATTGAAGCAACCGTTCTATTTAGATCATGACTTACAACAATGAGCCACGAAGGGGCGTCTAAGCAGCAGCTCTTCATCCGAATCTCACACCGATCAACACGAGAGACATGCCATAGTCCAATGATGAAGTCTATGCCGAGGATAATGATGAGAAGCTACTGATAATTAAGGATACCAGCGCTAGATTTGATGCCCTCAATAGCAAGAGTCAACTGTTCAGAGCGGACATAAGACAGACTCAAAAAAATGAAAAAGTGCGACTTTTGTCATCTGCCAGCAAAGCCTATGATACATTCTGTAAAAACTAAAACAAGTCAGCATTTCTTCTATAAAGACCGGCACCAAGATTTCAAGAGCCGCGAGATTGCTACCGCACTTCTCCTTCTAAATGATGGTGATAGGCGTGAGTAAAAGTCTTCATTTGTACAACGCAATGCAGCCGAGAAAGGAAACGAGACCGTTGAAAAATGCCTGTATCATTTCCGTGGCGACAACAGTAGAATGAATCTAGTTTAAATCTTATCAAAACCCATCTTCTTTCATGAAGATACATTGATTGATATGTGGTCCATGGTCAGTTCTGATAGATATCGAATCTTCTCCGAAGCCATGACTTCCGTCATTAAATAACTAACTGATCGGCTTCTCCACTGGATATTCACCTGCCGCTGGACCAGCTCTGCGTCATCCGCGTTCTATCAGTATGAAATTGTGTAATTCATGACATCTAAACATAAAAAACGCATTCACTGACTGTTGATTGAGTAATTGAAGCTATTTGATAATTGATGATACGCAAGGGTGCTTCAAAAAAAGAACTAGAAGGCACAAAGCTGCATACTCTTTCGGGGCATTTAATCACTAATATTCACTTCCCTCAATATTCTGCAGCATTATCCTAATTTTATCTTCCGATATTCTTTGTTCTAAAAGCATTAAGAAAAGATTGATAGTTTTCAATCTTGGTTTCTCTTTCCGTCAAACTTCTGATCTAGTTGTAGTGAATTTTAAGAGAAGTAGTCATTCCCTCGAGACCACAAGTGGGTGCATAGATGATTGCGACAGTAAGAAGCTTGAATCCGATACCGGTGCTTTGAGTCACACTTGGCTCCACGAGAAAGCTGTGAATAGATTCACTGCGGTTAAAAAAAAAGAGAATTGAATGAATTACGGATTGACTATTATTTGTTGAGCGTCCACGGATTCGCATAGTCGTCAGTAGCCTAGGAGAAAAGTCATTCCACGCTAATGGTATAATCATGAGAGAGAGAAGGGTAGGAGAAGAAATACAGATCTACGCCATTTGCATTATCAATGATTGACTTTTCATCGAAACTATTTCATTCAGCGATACGGGTTCACGATATTTAGACCATCATACCTAGCTTTGCAGAGCTTTATGGAGATTCTGCGTCAGAATGCCGGATCGGGACGATACATTAGAAGTTATTTCGCATCGGCATACGGCAGCGCCAGTAGAAGATTCTAATGCAAAGAACTGGGTTCTGTAATGGTACCAATTGTGATATCCCGATGAAGCCGAACATATCAAACAATTCGTTCAGTGGCATCGCAACATATTTTGCCTCATGTGTCTCATCTTATGTAAAAAGAAGGTCCAAGTTTCCGCTGGACTTTGAGATTTCAGAATGTATGCAAGTTTCTCAAACTTCGAATGTCTTCTCTCAGCCCATGAACGATGGTCAGTGTACAGAAGGCCATGAAACTTCAAAATCAGATTTTTCGATCATGAATAAACGAGATCTCATTGATTGATCCAAATCCCTAAGTCATCTGAAAATGAATCTACTGACAAACCACAATATAGTTTTGTTTTCAAGGGCGATTCTTTTGCTTGTAATGACAAGTTATGTGTTGTATGGGAAGAAAGAAAGGGGTGATTATTAGCCGAAGGTTTGTTTAGTGCCAAGAAAGAGGCAGACCAACTCTATTACATGTGTCATTGCGAACCATTGCTTGCTTACTACACTTCATCAAAGGTGATATCTACATTTGTTGTCAGAACAATCTAGAAATCCATATATTGATCCTAGATTATGATAAATAGCAATTTATATTGCGTGCTAGATGTTAGATCAATGATTTTAACCCTCTTAAGTATAACTCACATCACTTTTATTCCACATCGCAGAAAACTTGTATCCTTTTCAGTTCTTGCGATCAAAAAGTCTTTGTCATTTGGCTAAATTTAGTGTTGGTCTCTTCTTGGCGCTCACCTTGTTGATATTTGTTGCATATCGCGAGTCCCCTGTAGGTTTTCAGTTAGTGTTGGTATATTCTTGGTTGGTCTTAGCACCTACGCAATGGTACCCTCTTGATGCCTGACTAAAAGCAAAACTTAATGATGAATGGAATTTGTTGCATAGCTCGTACCCCTGTAGCTCCTTAGTTAACACTAGCAGCATTGTTTCTAGCTGCTATCACTTATCGCATCTTTTCACGAAATATATACGATTGATCCACAAGCATCCATTTTGGAGTCACCTGTGGTATACCAGTCTTCTCTCCTCTCATCTCTGTTATCAAGGCACCAAATTACAAGGAGGCTTACAGGTTTGATGACTATGATCTTCAGGTTGGTTCTTTGAAAGCTAGTTTCCGATTGCGCTTCATAATCGAAAATAGTTGCAATGTTCTCAGATTGTCTAGATTCCCCACAGCTAACCTGTATTCAAAGATTACGCGGTGAATGTCCTCTTTCTTTTGACTCGTGAATCATTCGGTCGAATTGGATTCATCATCTACATACCCTAGATAGAACCCGCCCATAATCACCATTTATTAGAAGTTCGAGTAGCTATCCTGGTGTATATAGATAGAGCACAAATGAGTGTAATCTATCTACTCTAACTCCCAAAACATATCTACCAACAGAAATTAGAGCTCTTAGCAAGCCATCCTCGTAGTCTCTAACATCCTATAACCACAAGAAGTTCCTCGATATCTCGCCATTACATCATAACACATACATCTCCAAACCAACATCATTACTCCGAAGCCCAATCATGGATATTCAAAACACATACACACACACCTGTCACCACATAGCCCACGGTCCTGTCCTATCAAATCCACTTATATACCTGCCTCTCACAACTCACACGCGTTCGCTGCTTCCCCTTCAGAAATTCCACCTCAAACTCCCGTTTCGGTGTCCTTTCTGCGAAGACCCAGATCTTCATGATACTGTTCCTGCTGGGAAGGGTGTGCTTGTGATTATGAGTTCACTGATGAAAGAGGACGAGAAGAGAGTAGTGGTAGAGAGATCGTCTGAGTCAAAGTCACTTCCATCGATTCCATCAATATACTTTCCATCATATCCTCCATACCTCTCCGCCTTCTGCTCGGGATTTTATCCTCCACCTCCGTCCTTGTGGGGTTTTCCTCCAAATTTTCCATTTTCTCCGCTGCCTTACTATTCTACATCTCCGAAAGTTCCAAACACGTGGAAAACAATACGCATTTGTGGAGTCGAGGACATCAAGAGTACAGAATGGGCGCATGAGATCGAGACCGAAACAATAGACGATAAAACCGCAATCGAGCATCCCGAGAATCTATGGAGCGAGAGACGACAAAACTTCGCACTCAGAGAAGGGAACTGGATGCCGATGGCTTGGATCCCTAGGCCTGTTGGAGATGTTGAGGTGTTAACAATTCCAGACACCGGGCCACAAAATATTTTCCATTCCTCCACCAATTCCCGCTTTCCTCCTCCATATTCTTCTTCTTCCTCTCACTCAAATTTGAACTCTCAGAATGAAAAATTCCACATCTCACAATCCTGGAGAGGTACTGCAGGCGAAGATTCAGATGGGTATGGATATCGTGGGAGAATATTGGATCAGAGTAGATTACCCGGAATGATAAGTGAGCTGGGTGCTTTTCTGCGAAACGAGAGGGCGGAGAATGGGAATTGGGGGAACAGAACAGATATGAGAGAAATAATGAGGGAGAGGAGGGTGAGATGGGAATGAGGGGCAGGGAGAGAATTTCAGACTTGGTAGTGCGTGGATGATACATGGAGTTGATGAATTGCGTTCTCAAAAACGATCAAGGATATTATAGATGCGGGCCTGGAAGATACTGGAGTTTTCTAATATTAGCGGCGAGACTGGGTTGGAGATGCAGATAGAGAGTCAGAGAATACGAAGAGCTCGTATTGTGTTCAACAACGACAACTTTACTAAACCATTAATTTAAAGATTCTAAATCAGGATTCGCGTCACAATCATAATGGCAGCATTTTTTTCAATGTTTCATTTTATTTTAGTAAGCATCTATCCGTATCCTTCATCTCTCGAGATTTTTTTCAAGAAAGTAGTCCTTCATCAGAATTTTTCTCCTGTCCAGCACCAATTTTAAGTATTCGCACCATGTTTAAGGTATCTATTGTGCCAAATCATGAAATGCATCGAATGCATCTCTTTGTCTTTTTGATCTTTGTCGTGTCATAGACTCAAATCCTCCCAGTAACAGTTGATGTGTGCGCCTTTGAATGAACAGAAAATGAAAATGAAAATGACAAATTGACAAAATGACAAAAAAACAAAACAAAAGTAGCTCAGCATAAGACCACAAGACACATGCCGATTCTCCATACTATGCAATAAAGACTTGAAGGGTATGCCCATCCTACATATCATACAAACGTTTCCTGGTATTCTGTAAAATAGAACGGAAACCTAAACACCATTTTCCCCATTATCTCTTCGTTCACGTCTCTGGTTAGATCTCCGAGCCAGATCTTCAGAACCATAAACATCGCGAAAAGCCTCGAGTTGTCCAGTCAAACCACGTAACATTCTTGACATTTCGAAAGCCATTTCTTCATGCGCTGCTTCTCCTGTCAAAGCACGAACCGAAGGAGCATTGGGTAGATTTGGGAAATGTGCCATGGTATATGGAGCATTTGGATCGCGCGAAAGAGCAGACATTGGAGGTGGTTGGGTCGAAGCGGTTGCGTAGTCTGAGTCTGTATCATTGGTATCTGTATTGTAACCCATAGTACTCTCAGCAGCTGAATCCGAAAAGTCTGATATATCGGCAATGTCGCGAAGAGCATTACCAGTACGAAGACGAGGTGGACGATCTGCGCGAAGTGAACGTGATGTACTTTCAGGACGAGGAGGCGTAGCAGAAGTTGGGAATGCTCCCATTTCTTCTGTAACATAGATAGAAGGCTCGCGCTCATGAGATGTAGCATAGATAGAAGGCTCGCGCTCATGAGATGGGGCGTAAAGAGAAGGCTCGCGCTCGTGAGTAACGGCATATATGGAAGGCTCACGCTCGTGGGAAGGCACAAATAAAGAGGGTTCGCGGGAGTGAGAAGGAGTATAAAGAGAAGGTTCACGGGAATGAGAGGTAGGTTGATAAAGTGAAGCATGACGTTCGAGTTCAAATGGATTGACCGTAGAAGACGACAAGGCTTGTCCAGAATCGCTTATAATGGAAATAGCATCAGAATCTGCTGTTGATGGTCGACCAAAGTCGGGATTGAAAGCTGGTACTGGATCCGGCATGCTCATATCTAGATCAATGAGAGATTCGCGGAAGGATAAACGAGGCATCCCACTGTGGATTTCTGCAGGTGGAAGTCCACCACTGAATCCACCTAGAGGCTCGGTTGGATGATGAATCAAACCAGGACGACTACCGATGCCTGGAGTGAATGCTGGTTTTGGAACTTCATAAGTTGAAGGGGGAAATCTAGATACTTCTGGATCTGCTGACGCAGGCGGTACCATTGCAGGAAATTTCCATTCTCGCGTACGTCGATTTGGATTTATATCAGCTGGATCGCTAAGTGCTGGCCGACTGAAATCGGGCAATGTGGTCATATAATCTTCATCGGGTTCCTCTCGTACACGTCTTCCAGCTTTGATAGTATCCATATCTGGGAATACAGATATACCTGTCTCGGCATCATGTCCTCCAAGATCAATCATGGTATCCCTGATAGATGTTTGCGCTGTATCATCACGTAAAGGTAAGTCGGAACGAGATGGAACAGGTGGTAGGTCTGAAGTTGGTGGAAGGTACGGCCGGCCATAATGATTGCGAACATTATCCTCATAGCTTGTTAGTGTGTTTGGGTCAAATATCTTCTCCAGGGGACCACGAGATGGTGCTAGGGCCTCTGGGGGGGACGGCGTCGTCCTTTCTGAGGTGGCGGACGGGCAGTCTCTTGAGGGAAGCCAGCATCAAATTCAACACCCGAGCCATACACATCGTAAACATCTTGAGCAGTTGATTTGCGTCTAACGTCTTGTTCAAATGCAGCAGTTGTACTGAAGTTCCACTCATCATCGGACAATGCTGTTGAGGAAAACTCCGAGGGTGCTTGCGCTCCACCTAACATAAATAAAGATTTTCTGCTTCCCCCATGATCTTCCCACAACTTGAATGCCCTGACGAGATGAGAAAGTGAGGACATTGGATATTTTGAACTAGTGTTGAGAATGTAATGATGATTCTGAACTCGGTCAATGGAAGGACGCTCACTTGGGAATTCTTCCAAGCAGAAGGCAACGAGGTCTCTCAATTCGTCAGAATAATCGCCCCCCTCAAGTCGTGGAGCATGCTGCTTTATAAGAGAGCCAAGTCGATCGAATGGAAGTCGACTCATGGCATTAGGCGGAAGACCAGTGGAGATCTCATAAGCCATACAACCGAAAGCCCATATATCAACTTCTTTACCATAGCTGGGGACAGCGTCAAATAACTCTGGTGCCATCCAATGTGGTGTGCCAATGACGGTAGATCTCTTGTCAACCTTTGTTTCCATGGTTCCTGCAACACCAAAGTCGCAAAGTTGAACTGCACCTTCTTCAGTAATAAGAACGTTGGCACACTTGATATCTCGATGTATGATGCCAGCCTCGTGTACCCATTTAATAGCCTCGGCGACCTCGCGAAGTATCGGTATGATCCATTTTTCTTGTAAGCCTCCGGGAGCGGTAGGTTTCATAAGCGTAGCAACACTTCCTCCGCCACAGTATTCTGTAATCATCCACATGGCTTGTCCAACTGGTAATGCTTCGATGACGTGATTGATATTCCGAGCTTTGTTTTCACTCAGAGTCTTTAGAGCGGTGATTTCTTTCAAGAATTCGGCATAAGAATTGGCATTCTTTGGGTTGATCGTATCGCTCTCCTCAATGTCGATGATCTTCACAGCCACAATAGCAGCCGATACCATGTCCTTTCTATTTGGTGTATTAACATATTGATCAAGCAACCAGGAACGAAGAAATATCATACCCTTTATAAACACGTCCAAAACTTCCCTTTCCGATTAATTCTATCAACGCATATTTAGGTGGTTCCTTTCCTGATTTAGTTGCTGCCTCAATAACTGAAGCTTGCATGAGCCGTGCATCCTCGATAGCTTTTGTCTTGACCGAAACTGGTTCGGAGTTTCTGACTTGGAGCTTGTCCATTTCGGCAAAATGGGCTCCCAAAGCTACGAGGCTAACGTCTAAAAAAGAAAGCTGCGAATGAGGTATATTTGGACTTCCAGGTGCAACGTTTGTTCCTGGAACTGGAAGACGAGATGCAGAAGAGTTTCCTTGTCTGTCTGCAGATACTTGGGAGCTATTACGTGGGATAAAAGCCGATTTTTTGCTTACGACTGATGTCTTTGGCAAATCACGTGGTGTAGGAGTTGTTTGACGGGAAGAGGAGGAAATCTGTCGAGGACGCGAGTTTGTAAGCGGTTCTTGGGTGGCGGATGAATTGTCTCGCGACCAGTTCCGCGGGGTCGGAATACAGAAAGAGGCGATTGAGCTCTATAGCTTTGTGCCGAAGGAGACGGTGTTTGGAGCTCTCTCTGAAAACTTCTAAGTTGAGGTATCTGGGAGCGATATGCCGCCTGAGTTGCTTGAGCCGTCCAATCTTGTTGAGGAGCGTTAATAGACGAATTGAAGCCAAAAGTACTGGCGCCTCTGGAAACTGGAGAGCCGGTGGAGATGTTGCGATCACTTTGAAGTCTGTCCACGCGCAATTTATCGTGTTCGACAGAATCAGGTGCAACTAGAGAGTGCGATTTCTTGACAGGATTGATTGAACTAGGAGCTTGCAGTTGTCTGACAGTACCGAATGTTGAAAGATTAGAAGTGGCAATGTCTGAATTATAGTCTAGACGACGATTAAGAGATGGACGCGGAATAGAGAGTTCAGACTTTACAGCTTGAACTTCTTCTGATCTCGGTTCGTGACGAAGACTACCGTCTGGATAGCGTGTCGCGCAAAGGGTTACAAATTCTTGCTCTTCAAGACTGTTTCGATCTCTGCCACTCAAGAGCAAGTATCTGAGACGAGCGGTACCGACTGGATTATGATCTGGTCGACGAAGCGTGAGTGGGCGCTCAAACTTGGCTTGCTTTTCTGCTTCCTTCTCTGCCTCTCTCTTTTGATCCTCTTCAGATTGAGCTGGATAAGCTGGGCGAGCTAGAGACTCTTGGAGAGCTTTACGAGCTTCCCTTCGCTCTTCTCTGCGTGCTTGTGCCCGCTCGAGGTTAGCAGCAACTTGAGCGTCGTCTGTTAATGTGTGATCTTGAGAAAGTTTCTTGGACTTTGAGCTCCGGAAATAAGCACGGTAACTATCCTCCAGATCACTATCTTCGGCAGCGTTTTCAGCGAGCGTATCACAATTGATCCACTTTTCGGATTCTTCCCTAAAATATTGTCTACTAACAGAAGAAGCTGATGAAACGCGTCGTGAATGCCGATTTGTTACAGTCTCAGCTTGTTGAGGGGTAGTAAATTGTTTGCTTGAGCGTCGGGCAGTTTCACTAGATTTCTGAGTTTCTGTAGTTCTTGAAATTTGAAGACTGCGTATAGATGAATTTTGACTCTTGAAACCAAATGAACCTCGAGACTCGCGCAATTTACAAGCACCACCGAAATTATTATTTCCTAAAGAGGGGGTGGTGGAAGTTGGGGGTTGTTGTAAAGTTCTCGCTGTCGGAAGTAAATTCTCCGGTTCTTGCGTTGAGGATTCGGTCGAGTAACCGCGAGAAAGCAAATAATTTGGCCTCTCTTGGAATTTAGGTTTCTTCGCACCTTCCGAAGCCGTGAATTCTTTTTTTTGAGGTTTTGGTAAATTTGAGCCACGTTCTTCTTGGGTAACCGGCGGTGCGTTTGTAGTCACGTGAGAAGAAGTGTTTGCACTGTTTGTCGCGTCGTCTGTTGTACTACTTCCGCTGCTGGGTTTTCTTGTACTATGGAATCCAGCTGCAAGTGGAGAGTTATCAAAATCTCGTAGTACAGCTTCATGTGCTAGCAGGACCGCTTCGTTGGCTCGCACCGATGCTTCAATTTCCCTCTGCCTACGCTTTTCCGCAGTCTTGTCAGACTCGGTAGCAAGGAATTCAGGTGTTGGTTCAGTATAACTGTAATCGTAATCAATCTTTTGCAAGGGGGTCAGAGCCTCGTAGTATGGTTTTGAGGTTGACTTTTCAACGTCGTCCTTTGGTGTATCCTCACTCTCAGACCTTGAATCCGAGGTATAGCCGCCGCTTGTGCTTGTTACAAGATTGGGGTTGTGCTCCTCCTGTGGCGTAACCTGATCAGGAGTAAATGACAATGCACCGGTATCAGTATGATCTTCTTGTTCCTCCCTTAACGTGTGATTGACACCTGGTGTGTTGTACCCGCAACGATGATAATCGAGGGGAGCAATGTATTGACCGGCAATTAAACCCAAGGGATCATAAACCCAATCTTCTCCTGGATCCTCCTATGGACACATAAAGTCAGTAATTGTTGAACTGTTAACCTGTTGTACTGGGCCCCTTTGAGCATGCAAGATGATTCCCAGACAATGGATGCTGCAGGGAGCCAGAAGAATTCATTTGAAGTGTAAATAAACAAGGGTTTGAATTCCCGAAGAATCGAACGAAAACTTACAAATGATGTGACAACGTTATCAAGAATTCCTTCCTCCTCGGTGGCTCCTGCTGACTTTTCTAAAGATTTGAACAGGTTAGAGATTCTGGATCTTAACTTGGACTGTGGCTTCGCAGTGGATTCGCCAGGATCATCCTGATTCTGCAAGTGAGACATTGTTAGTCAGCAGCGGCGGCTATATTTTAGTTCCATCTGCAAATATCAACGTCAAACTTACTTTGAGATCACCATATTTCTTGCGATGTTCTTGTTTCTTCTTCTTCAAGAACTCCATCTTCTCCCCGTGCGCCTCGGTCAGTTGCTTTAACTCAATGCGATATTGGGCAAGTAGTGATTGATTATGTGCAATGAAATTGTGTGAATTCGACGCATTTAACGTATTAATGGCAGGAAGCAAATTTGGCTGAGATAAATTTCTCAATGGTGACTTTGTGGGAATTGGCGGCGCCGGCGTATTCGAAGCAAGTAGGAAATTTGTGATTGTATCATAGGAAGCAGGGCGAAATTCGGGAGTTGAGCTAGCGTGTTTAAGGAAATTGTTCACACGCGAATTTCGAACACTCAAGCTTTCTTTCTTTACGCTATCTTCACTAAGAGCTTTGGATGTGTCGTCCAATGTTTTTGAAATACCAGATCTTTTGGATTTTACCCTCGAGTTATTTCCAGCCGAACTCCATGATTTTGTTGGATCAACCTGTGCCTCTGATGATCGACTGTGATCAGCAACAGTTCCAGTCAAGGCGATATTGCGAATAGTCTCGTCGCTGGCTATTTCGGTAACTTCTGACGTATCATAGTCATTCTCTGGAATGGTAAACTGTGTAACGGACTCATTAAATGTTACCGATTGCTTTCTATGTGGCTTTTTAGAGGAGCTGAGATTGCTTCGGTGACGAGGTTTGTACGGCAAGATCTCTGTTGATGAGCACGGCGTAGTTTGCCCCGTCAAATTCTCCAATGAGGTCTGGGCGCTGTCGTTCAATTGATGGGGATTCTGCGTAAATTCCCCCAAATCATTCTTCTGTATATATGGTTGCGCCCGTTCCGCTGGTAGAAATCCCGGAGGAACTTTTTCAGTAAGAGTGGGAGGTTCATTAACGCCAATGGGCATCAGCTCGGGTCTATCCCTCCTCGTTTGCCTTGAAAGCGTAGGCTCAATGAACGCTCGACGGGCTATTGGGGGTGCTCGGCCAATTTTTGGATCATTCACCTGTTCTCTGCCTTCTAGTCGTAGTCTCTGTTCGGTTGCCTTTCTAAGCTCATGCTGGAATTGCGCCTGTTCAACGTGCTTGTCACGTTCCTCCTGTGTTACTGCGAGGACTTGAAACTCGCCGCCCAAGTATGCCCCCGTCTTGTCCAGCTCAATTGTTCCATCCAGCTTCCTTGCCGGCGCGATCGGAGGAATATACCTCTCTGGTGCTGGTGTGGATTGATCGGTTCTATACCGGAGTTTCGGAGTTGCAACTGGTTGACTTCGATCGATTGGTTTGTGGACATTCTTCTTTTTAGGTTTGAACAACCTTCTGATCTTGGCCTTCAAGGGATCCTTATTCCGGATCTTGTTGTTCAAACCTTTGGGAAGGTACGCGAAATTTGGATCGGCATTTTTGTTTTCCTTCCGCGCTGCTTTCACTGCTTTTTTTCGTGCTGCCTTTTCCTCTCGGGTTGGCCCAGAAGACCCTTCGATTGTGGCACCAGAGACCGAGGAAGATCCAAATGAAACGACTGTGGACTCTTTCGAGCGCGTTGACTTCAAAGAAAGCGCTTTGATTGTTGAAGCAATCGTAGTTGTTGACGAATTCGCCTCAGAAATATTTTCGATTCTATCTTCATTCGTCTCTTTATTCGAAGCGCTCGATCTTGGGTTCAAAGTGCTGGCTCCAATTGCACCTCTTCCGTAGCCAGAGTGTCTTATTTGAGAGCGCCTTGCAAGCGAAGATTTCCGCTCAATTGGTCTCCGAGGCGCCATTAGCGCGGTCGCCTTAGCAGGATAGACCTTGAGATTGTTGCAGGTATAAGGTAACTGATTGACGTTTCGGCAAAGAGTCTAAAGCTGGGGAGCTGAGATGAAATTTGGTATAAGAGGAAAGGCTGTATTGCGTGGGTAGATGATTGACTAGCTCAGTATGGAAAGATATAAAATGATTGACCAAAGAAATTAAGACGGAAGCGATTATTTGAGGAGATATCTGTACAGGATTGAAGCTCAATGTTGAAAGTACCCAGGGTCAATGCGACTTGTTCCCCATAATTTCATCTTAGCCTTGGTCGAGTTTGGATGGTAGTAAACAATGGAAGTACCCGGCATCGGAATATCTTCCCTCCCGCAGTCCTCGAGCAGCCATCAATGTTTTCACAAAACAGTTTCCCAACCTATCTTGTATATCCTTTTATATACAAAGAATAAGTAGTATCTGGCCTTCCTTTTCCAATATTTCTTGGATGTATGGGACTTCTGGGGGTCAAGATATTCCATTTTCTAGTTCCTCATCATCTGCTCATGGTCTACTCAGCCTTATGACACTTGACTGTTCTTCCAGCAAAATGACCCGACCAAAAGCGAGTCTAGACTCCCCGCCTCAGGCATAGACAGACAGGGATCCGAGCAAGGTAATATAGCGCACAATCAATATTCAATATTATTATTAAATTTGGCATTCTTAAGATGGTGATTGGGGCATTACCCGAGCAGAGTTTTCCAAGTGTTTCAAGAATTACAATAAAGACGTGACCCTGTTGCTGAGGCTGCTGTAATATCCCTACTCCGAACTTGCAGTTGACAGTAGAAATCGAATAACAACTTTTTTGACAAACTTTTTTAAACAAATTTTCAACTGTGTCTATCTTGTCAGTAACCATCAGTAACACTTAACGTCTTTATTATTTGAAGTCTTACCATTTGTTCGAAGAAATGCTTGCTGTCTATGAAGTTGCAAGGACCATTCAGATCTGCAACAACTAGTTTGCAGAGTAGCCAAACTCAAGACCAAGACCATTACCTGTAAGTATTTCTTTTATTCTTCCATCATCCCCTTCTCCTATGACCTACTTCTCAACTGCAAAGAGATTGTATTCTCATCGTTGTGGTTAACTTGTAAGTCGTTTGTCTAAGTTCCTCAACAGAAAGCTTTTTGAGCTGCTTTGTGGGACATTCACCTCAGTCCTTCCTCTCACGAGAGCCTTCTTCACTATTTTTAAGTATTAGATGAGCAAACGTCTGTTGCTATTGTCAGTCTTCACTTTTTGCTGTCAAGTGAGATATGATAGTCGTCAGGTTTGCTGTTGTGCTGATTGCTTATCTTCTCCCTTTCTGCTCAAGATACACTAAACCTTACTCAACTCATATGAAACTTATTGACTTTAAAGTTGTTATCGATCAGAACGCCCAAAACGTCACAAAGAAGCAAAACATCCTTGGAAAAATTCAGTCTTTCATGCCCATCGACCTTCCACTGCTACTGCTGGTGATCGAGCAAACACAATACCAGAGCTTGGTAAGTTCTTTCTTCAAGATCCAGCTAGCCAACACGCACTCATTCCGGCAAGGACATCCTAGGTCACTGTCCTCTTCGTAAAACGATAATCTTTTGCTCATGACGATAGCCGCTGGTCGGTCATGCTTGTAAGACCTCAGATCGTGGTAAGTTCCCCTTTAATTTATTCCTCGCGGCAGCTGTTAACACAACTCGCAGTAGCATCTCTAATTGATTTGATCACCTCGATGTTCTTGCTGTCAGCTGCAGTGTCGGTAAAGCTCGCAAGATATCATAATGTGGTACTTATTCCTATCCAAATTTCATCATTTTGAAAGCTTCTGACATGACTTACAGTAGCTCGTATGGCCAGGATGACATTTTTATTTCGGTGGTCAGCTGCTGGTCAGTGAAGTTTGCAGAATACTGAAACTTGGTAAGTTCTTCTGTCAAGTTGTGCCTTATCACAATTGCTAACATCAATTGCAGTTTTTATCCTGACACGCGGACCACATTGATAAGGCTCCGGCTTATGGTCTATCTGCTTTTGTCAAGACATACCCTGCAGGTCTTCAGGACCTTGAACTTCGAAGACAATATTCTATCACGGACTTAAGCAGCATCTTCAATCACAGTGCATGGTGTCCATGATGTATTCTTCGCTATTTCTCATCGAAACTTCTCTCACCGTCGAAATCTTCGATCTCCACCCTCTTGCTAATAATAGCAAAGCAAGGTCTTTCGGGCCTACTTGCTATTCGATGGACAAGGCTGAGATTTTACAAATGGTGGTGGTGATCTCAATGACATTCCAGGAAGGGAAGAACAAGTGCCGACGGCTCCACATTCACTACATTGTTTCCACCTCACCAACGCCTGCATGCCAGCAGTACTCACCATCTTACGCGTTCTTCCCGTCTAAAGGAATGCATGGAGATTTATGTTATCTTTTTCCTGTCTATACCTGCTTCCAACCTTGAAAAAGCATCGTGGTATACATGAGCAGTTATGATGTTCTCAGGATCAACTGGCAAATCTCAGATTCGTTATTTTTGGTCCTTGACCTAATCTCCGGCAAGTCATGGCCGCTGCTCCTTCCTCTTCGCCGAGGAAGGAGACCAACAGCGTGCTTTGACCGAGATGCAGGGTGTTTACTGCGGTAACAGACCCATGCGCATTAGTACTGCAACACCCAAGAACAAGGTGGCTTCCTCTTTCTTTCCAGCAGCTGGTCCATGTCCAACCCTGCTGGGTGGGTATCATCCCACTCAATGGTCATTCTTTGGGTGATCTGATGAAGCATTTACTCTGCGGAGTCGACAAGCAGAATTAACCAAATGAAAGGCTATGCTGCTGGTCGCTCCAACTGCTCCAACTAAGTGAAGAGAACTCTCCTCTTTCCAGTAACTGGGCCATGCCATTGAAATGGCCATCAACCAAATGCATGGTTATTCTGTCCGAACCTCTCCAGCCTAGCAAGCTGCGATGCCATTAGTCCTCAGTCAAGGACGACCGTTTCCGAATACCTTTTCAAACGGTCTGCTGTGCCGTGGGCATAGCAGAGAGGACTGGGCCAAATTATTACAAGACAAGGGCAGGAGATTTCCTCCCTTGTCTTCCAAAAACAACAACAACAACAACCTAAGTTGTTCCTGCTCCTGCTTTTGCTTTTGTCTTGTGGCTTTATGCCAATAGTCAACTTTTAGGACGGACAGGGAGGTATGCACTCCACCACACGCGCGGTCTCTCCGGGAGTCGACTAACAAGTCCAGTTCGGATCTCCTTCGATTTTACTCATTGCAATGATCATCACCATGCTATTCGGATATCTACGATGATTTGTTATGACTGCAGTCCGGAATGACGTTAAACTATGATTGTGTTAGAGTCGGTTGGGATCATTCTGCGGGTGTACAAATTTCTTTCAAGTCCCACGAGTTTTTTTGTGGCCAGAACAGACAACGTCAATCAAACGTATGACATAACCAAGTTCACCAGATCAATCGTAATTCATTAGCTATAGGGATATGGCTGTGTCAGGCGATTGCTTGAAGTTACCTGTCCTGGCCACTGAGAGATTTGTAGGACTTGGGAGTAATTTGGAATTCTGTGGGAGGGAAAGGGTTTAAGAGCGGAGTCAAGGTGTTGAGTGACTGGCAATGTATCAGTGGTTGTTCGAGTGTAGTCTTGTATATTAGTTCATCATATAGGATTATACTTCGTTTTCTCTCAGCCGCTTCCGGGTGTGCCTGATGTTGTGGTGTGGTGGTGGTGTGGTGGCGATGGCATGTGGATTTTTATTGCTTTCTTGGTAGGTCTTCTTTACAAAACAGAGTTTGACACTACAGTGTACATTCAAAGCTAACACACCAGCAGCATTCTACGTGGACTCGCTTTCAAGCAATGTACTAGGCTAGTACTTTCAAAAAGAAGACCACGGTCTACTTTCTTGGCTTCCCGCGCAAGAGAGAGTGGCTGCAATTGCATACGGTTTTGTCACTGAGGATGAGCTCAAGCCTGGTGCTTCTCTTGAGTTTCAAGAGGTAATGGAAACCACCTCTTTCGTCTGTTCTGGGGACGATCCCAGAACAACTCTGGACCATCTTTTCCTCGCCGTACCCATAAGCATAAAGATAGCAAAGATACCAACAAAACATGGTTCTTGCGGTCTCTGCTCCCCAGGATGAGCTTAAGTAACGTCAAGATGATTCGTGATAAGACCGTCGGTCGAGTCTCGGCGGAATAGACCGAGTTCGCCGCCACATGTTAACAACAAAAGAGGCCTTTACCCTTTGCATCTCTAAAGCGGCGCAAACTTAGCCAGAGGATTCCCGCTCAGGCGCAGATAGCAAAGGGTAAAGGCAACGAAGCTTTGACGATGACAAGTACTCATAATCGTTTCTCTTGTTGCAATTTATTGATTCAAATAGGGCTGAACATCTTCGCGGTTCTTTACCAAAGCAAAGCACAACGAAAACGCGCTTCTTTGCGTAGAGAAACAAGAATGCGTGGGCAAGTCAAGTTTCAAAAGTGCCAAAGCTCAAGGTGGAATACATGGTCTGCCGAGAATGGTCTTGTCTCTTTAGGTAGCATCATATAGTAATATACCCTGTTTCCCCCAGCCGCCTTCGGGCGTGCACCTTTTGATATAATTTTGTGAGTGATATCATATCTTGAGGTTGATAAGCGGGCGCTATTTCTGCTGAGTAAAGGGGATTGGGCTGGTACGTTATTTTTCCTGTTATTCCCGATATTCTTGGAGCAGTTGCTAACATCTTCCGAACAGTTACTCGCAAGGGACTTGAAGGGAGAAAAGTTGTTTCTGTAGTTGGTGGATAGGTGTGTTGGGAATGCTGTCGAGTAGCACTGACTCTGATTTGGTATCATGAATGCCAGATTTTGGTCGGAGACCTGAAAAGTATGAATTTTTCTGTGCACTTGAGACGTCTCGATATTGTACTAATGTAAATATCAGTCACTTTACATGGTGTTCTCAGAGGTCCACCCAAGGAGCCGGCAAAGCATCAAAGAGGCAGTCGACGCCAATCAAGATAGCTCACCGTAGGAGTTCATTCTAGTCCAACGGAGCGGCTACAGCGCTGGATACCAACACCAGCAGCAAGCATCTGCTGGCCAGATTACCAATGTTGGTCTCAAAAACTAAGCACCTTATGCTTAAGTAACTATTCCTTCCCGCGGATTTTCAAGGGACGTCGAGAGCGCACCGGACCCGACAGATACTTCAAATTCTGTCAATCGTTTGACCTCAGCCCTGGACAGACTAAGTCGCGCGCAGTCTTTCTCAGTGGCTCGTCCGTCTCTCGCCGATACTCGTCAGTATCCCCAACGATAGCGAAAGCCAAGACGATCTGATCGAGTCTTGAGAAACCCATCTTTCACAATCTCAATAGCAACTTGTCACAAAGTGCTTGGAGACATACAAGATCTTACCTTTTGCGGCCTCTGCCCTCAGTAGAGGTTTAATTAACGCTACAAACAAAAATCAGTTCTGTGTACTCTTTCCAGCAAGTGGGCCAAGATCATGACTGATCCACGTGTTTGCTCTCTTTCCTCCTCGGCCGAGATTAGTCGATGGGGTTTCCGACAACGTTACAACGACAGTCTATTTGATTCAGTTACTAGGTTTGCCTAGAGTCCCGATGGACCTCGTCGCAGCTTTCGCTGTTGCTAATAGTAGCTTTCCCGCTCTAAAAAGAAATCGCAACGGGACCGAGATGTCGTTAAACTAGATCATACCACGGCGAACTGCAAGTCCCTCTTTGATCAATTGGGCAAACTTGAATTGTCGAAAGTTGACGCAGTATTACCAAGCAAATCTCAGATCCACTACTGGCGAGGTGCCATATGTTTTTGGCTCCGCTGGTCGGGCAGAAGCATAGAGAAGCTGGTGGTGATTTCTTGGAAATGCCAATACCAAGTCAAAGCGGAACGTGCGACCAAATCAAATCAGTCTTCTGGCCCGAGCAGACCTTCCAATCGCATACACGCCTATTACTCCAAAGAGTGTTTCAGGAAGTGGGATGCGGTAGCAACCAAATCAACCAATCTTTCGGCCATCATAAGCATGATAGTAAATTACTGAGCTTCGTTGTTCCGCAAGATCAAACACTCCAGCTTCGCAGACAGTCTAAATACGATCCAATTCCCTTTCTTGTCGTCTTGGCTCCACAACAAACATGGGTATCGAGTCCCTTGTTTCTCGCGTTCACAAGAACTGGAGACCTGCTGCGGTTATGAGTACGACCTGGCTTGAAAGCTATTGCTTCAACAACCAAGCTCCTTATGCCTAAGTAACTATTCTTCTCGGGGCCTGCCTCTCTGAGAGAGACTGATGGCAGGCTAAGGTAGCCTTGTTGAAGATCTGTGAAGATGATCGAAAAATCTCCGGCCTCTGAGTCCTGTAACGAGAGATATTACTACGTTCATTTCGCTCTGACGAGGTGAGACACCCCACTCGATCAAGAAAGGGCTTCAAGAAGCTAAAATGCGTCCCTGCCGGGAGTGAAGTACTTTTACGAGTCTTCACATGACTCTTCCTCAGCGGCTCGCAAGACAAAATGGTTGGCTACCACCTCCCTCGATTTCCAACCCATCCAGCATGCGATTGGTAAATCATGAGTTTGAAGCACACGTTTCCGAATATCTTTTCAAATATGTGGTGGTGCTTTCGTGTAGTTGTGCTTGAGAATTCCGATCGCACTGCTCCTGAAGTCTTCAATTGGTGTATTTCAATCTCATTCACCTGGACGCGTCAACTAAAAGAGCATGTCAAGAATGCAAAGAAGTGAAAATGGGACGGGACCCATCTGTCCTCGACCACAACACGTTTGGTCTTGGTCCCTGGGAAGGTTTCCAGGGCTTTGGGGAGATTATGATGGTGTGGTGGCTGGGAACTATGCATGATAGGAGTGAGAGCGGGGAGGGGGGCTTGGATTAGGGGCTGGCTTGTGCAGAGGTGGTGATAGTTTTGCTGTTGGTCATGGAAGGAAGGTGGTATTCCCTTAACTCCCGACAATGGAAGTTTTGTTGGCTCGGTCTTTCATAATGGCAGGATGATGTAAATAGAGACCTCAAAGTATTTGTCTATTACAAAAATGGAATTTCAAACAACAGAAAAGAGCCCTAACTGTGAAGTTATACTTGTGATGAAAATGCGATTCATCTGAATTAGTCCATAGTAATGACGTAATTTGGAGCCCCGATGAATCTATAACTGCATAAAGAATATCGGAGCTATCATTCGTTTCTCTCAAACCAGAATTCCGGTTGACGCAAAGTTTAAATCTGCGTTGGAGATGAAATGAACTTGACATGTCTCGCAGTATATCGAGCTGACGAAGTTCAAAATTATGGTGGTATCTTGTTGCTTCTCGCGGGTTTAAGAAATTGACTTGCAAATAGTGACGCTAAATCCTTCTTGATCTCCCTTGATGGACAAACCTGAGGACATGTCTTTGGAGAAGTATCCGTGAAGAAACAGAAACAATGTTCTCGCTTCGAGATCGCAGCCTGCGATTGCAGGATTAGGAAGGGCTCCAAGCTTAGAAATTAATGTCATAAAGCACAATATTAGGTCCAGCACGTAAAGATGTCGGCAAAAGACCTAACAATCCACAGATATGTACCTGGAGGAAGAGAACGAATATCGCTATCGAAAAGAATGTGATCTCGATGTAATGTACACGAAGAATAGAGATTAGCGACTGAAGATGCGAGATCAGAGTAAAGCCAAGGTTTTGATCAGGAAGGGGACTCAGAATGAAAATGGATGAGGACACCCTTGGCATAGATTGAAACGCGGAATAGGAGATGAAGTAAGGATTCCATCGTGGTGCAACTCTGCGTGAGAGAAGATGCGGAGGGATAACTTGAGGGGGATATGAGAGAAGCGTAATCAAGATTATACGAAAACGAGGAAATTGAAGCACGAAATAGGAATTCGAGAATGAAATTGAGAAGTGTAGATAGAGTAATATCAAGCAAGGAACTTCCGGAGAAAAGAAAAGAACGTATAGTTATAGCGGGGTAACGTCAGGAATCGTAAGAGGGAAGAAAGTAGAAAATGATAGAGCCAAGACGCTAGAGTCAAAGAAGTGATGCGTTATCAACAATAACGACAAACAAATAGTAGATAATAATATAGTAAAAGAATCGATGAGGGGAAGTTGAAAATAAAAGAGCTGATAGCGTTGAAAAGTCAGTAAAGTCAGGCTAGAACAAAAATAGCATTCGTCTATTCATTAAAGGAAGGGAAGAAACAGCAAACATCGAAGCAGGGTATTGAAAGACGTAAGAGACACGCCAAACGCTCAACTTTGAGAAAACATAAGAGCGAGGAGCTAGTACGAAAGGGATGGTAGATTATTGTTGGGAAGGAATGTACCAGACTCTCAGTGCGACGGGTGATAGAACCAAGCGGAGTAGAAGGTAATGGGACTAAATAGTGGAGACGGAGAAAGCTTGCTTATTGAAGAAGAAGAAGAAGAAGAAGAAGAAGAAGAAGAAGAAGAAGAAGAAGAAGAAGAAGAAGAAGAAGAAGAAGAAGAAGAAGAAGAAGAAGAAGAAGAAGAAGAAGAAGATAAGAAACGAAGATATAAAAAAGTGACAAGACACATGATTCTTATTGAAGAGAAACACACCGATTTGAAAGAGCAAATAGAAAGCAAGTAAGAGAGGAGATAAATTCTAGAACTTCAGAAAGGAGTACAAGGGTGAGATTACAAATTACAATGAGAACAGTGATATTGTATTGTGAAAAGGGAACTGAATACCGAAGGATGAGAGAGAACATCGAGAGAACGAGTCAAGCAGAGTGAGATAGAGAGAACAAACTAACTAAGAACAAAGGACTTCATCTAAAAAAAGGCAGAAACTAAATCACTTGATGATGAAAACCACTAAATCTAACGAAATGTAATTGAGTGTCTGAAGAAGTAAGGCAAGATATAAATAAGTAGATTTGTATGGTGGCCGAGTAAGAAGAATAAAGAACTAAGCGATGATAACCCTGGATGATTTAGGGGCTTTCACTTTCACTTTATCCGCTCTTCAAAGGAAGAACCATCAAGTCAAGTCAATCTCCACTAGAATAGTATTTACAAAACGAGAACTACATACAATGCCATATTAAACATCCCCACCCACCCAGTTATCTATCCACATTATTTATGCTAGAGAATCACATATATCCCAACTTAAAATCTCCCATTTGATTTGTGGCAGACTCGATCTAGTAGATAAACATCATGTATGTATCGGTTACCAATCTTGCTTTCAAGATCTCTGAAAGCTGACCAAACCCAAACCCGAGAACTTAGGTGCTAAACTGTATCAATGATCTCTCAATTTCGCTCCCAAACTTTCTCCATTAGATGTTCCAATTCCTCGCAAAATCCCCGAGCTGGAATTATCAAGTGACCCATACCAAAGTCCACCCTTGAATATTGTACATCCTAATCCACACAAGTTAAAATATAATACATAGCCCTTGAGAGCTCACCAACAGAACTTTAACCAATACCACCCAAAGTAAATTAGTATCTTTTTACAAATCCGTTACACCATCCTTGTGAGATAAAA